GTAAACGTCGCGGAAAAAAGAGACGAAACCGATCGTTCGAATTATATCTCGAGGCAAATACTCGCACGATTTGGAAAATGATTTTGTTGATCTGTCAGAAATTTAGATGAATGTTAAATAAACGCTGTTTCCTCGTTGAGAAGGTGTCTTCCTCTGATTTAAAAACTACGAACAGTTATTCCAGTCGAGAATTACATAAACCGAAAAAATGTCGTTAGAAAGTCGCCAGTATCCTCTGATCTAACGATTCTTGTACTTCGTCTACTCGTAGTCGATAAACATCCTATCCCTGAGAATGGTATTCGCTTATCTACTCGCTAAATTTTTAATGGATCGACAAAAAATGTATCCTCCGTTTATTTGAATATTTTAAGAACGCGTTTAGAACGAGAAGAAAGCGGGTAACGAAAAATATGATTATAAAATGGATACAGCCTAACGTAGAAGAACACCCTTGTGATGCACGCGTTTTCAGCCTCGACACAGCATCAATTCTCTGCGCAACGGTGTCTCGCTTTTTCATTTTTAGATGTTTATATTTTTATACTCCACCAGCAATGTGTCTCTACGGCGATGAAAAACCGCATGTATTGTTGAAGTCTAGTCTTACGTTATCGTCTTCACGACCCCCCCCAAAAAAAAAGATTGAATTTTTTGGGGCATTCTTCGTTTTTCTACGGCGATCGTAGAACAGGAAGAAAAGAAACCCTGTATCCACGCGATCGGCTCTCTGCATTCTGCGTAATGCTTGTTCGATTTTGTCTCCCCTCTCGAGAGAAGCCGCGGGAAGAGATTCGTTCGCTTTATTTTCGAAATACCTGCTCCTTTCTGGGTTAATTTAAAAAATTCAATCAACAAGAAGACATCGATTTGCTTTTTAAGTAAGAAACTTTGATCTCGAACTTACCGTTTAATTAGACATTTTTTTTTTCTTTTTTTTTTTAATCAATCGTAGACGTTTGTTAGTCGATAAATCTCTTCCTACGGCGGCCAGGACTTGCGCGAGCATCCTCAGTCTAGCTCTTCCTTGATCGACCGTAAACATTGGTCGCGTGAATCCTTCCATTTCGTCGTCGAATCTCGTGGAATACTCGACCCACGTAGACGAACAGAGAGACAGGATCGGCGAATGTGAAGGTGTGTTCGAGCAAGTGAGCCATGTCGAAACACACAACGTTGTAAACACGCTATAATGTAACTTATTAAACTTCCAGTGGTACGAGGCAAAAAAAGTATTTGATCTTAACACCCTCACGAGTAAACCAGAAAATACATGTTTCCATCGAAGAATCGAAATTCCTCGGTTCTATCGCACCAACGACTGATTATAAAAATCAAATGCTTTTTTCGTTCTATCACTCGCTGTCTGTGCCTGATCTTTGTCAATATTTATTTGTCTCTTCCTAGACGTTAAATCGATTACACATGTACTAGAGGTTACAGTATAATGGAGCAATCGGGCAAGTCCGTTTTCCTAGAAACTCTCGGACCATCCCGTGTCGACAATCGAATACTCCTCATTGAATCGTCGGTGTTGTACTAATTTTCAAATTTTGAATCGCGGGCGCGGTCAGCCGAACTACTATAAATAATATCGCGTTGATCGAGCTCGATACCAAAAGCAAAACGAGGCTTCGAGGAAGAAATGACTGAGAACAGGAGGAGGAACGAAATTCGGTGGTCCAATCGTTTAATTCGCGACGAGGTAGCCCTCGTGTCCCAATTATTCTCGTCAATTAATCGATCGTGCGTTTTCTCTTGCCGAAAAAAAAGAAAAAAAAAGAAAAAAAAAAGGAAAAAAAGATGAGAGCGATGGTCAGAAGAGATTGGAATGGTGTCACGATCGGAAATCGTGAACAAAAATAGGGCACAGAGTGTGATTTTCTGAAATACACGCTCGAAGAGATCCGCTTTAAAACGAATTCTATCGTCCGCAACCTTTGTGATCTTCGTTTCGTCGCCCACTCAATTACCTTCGCCGCGGATGCGGTGCTAATTAACAAACAAAGGAGCGATCGTCGCGTTAAACGGACGTCGACAAGCGCATTGTGACGACCACGACATTGTGAATCGAGACGCGCCCAGATGACTTCGTTTTTATTTGCCGTGAGAACCTGTGAGAGTCACGTGAATTTCAGACGAATACAGGCCGCAGATGTACACGGATTTGCTTCGATTTCGAGAAAATGAAGATGGAGGTGAAATTGAAGAGAAGCGGGGCCAAAGTTCAGAAAGTATTACTAGTTGAAATAGAATTGAAAAGTTAGTGTAATATGGGACCGAAGATTATTCATAATTAAGAAAAATGTAAAGTAAGATTTTGGTAGAGAAAATCCTTGATATTTGTACATACGCTAACATTTCCACGTTCTTCCTTTTCCTAATTTCCAGTCCTATTTAGTTGATTCAGTAAAATCGACATTGCCAGGACACATTCGGTCCCATCAACCTAAAATCTCGAACGATCATTATGTTCGCCTATTATACTCTTCCTTAGTATCCTAATTTTACGTGCTTCGACTATTCCATGCGTTTGTAACGTCTAAAACACGATCATTTCGCGATGAACATTCACGTTCGCAATGGATATGTTTGTTTCTACACGGTAATACCTAAAAACGTATCTTCAATTTATCTTTCATTGAATTTACTAATGAGAAAATCATAGTTTCCTATATTTTATAATTACATAGTTTAATTAACGACTAAATAACTTTAAATTACGAGTTAACAATTTTTACGCTACATGTATAATGGAAACCGATCGTCAGTTTTAGCGGTGAGACTGCTAATAAAATGGCAGAGCAATATCAATTATCGAAATGCACCGATGTAAACGCTCTTTCGTGAATAATAATTTGCCTTCTAGAAAAGATTAATCTTAATCTTCGGATCGAATGTACTTCTATAAATTTTCAGAAACTTTTGTATCACGTACTTCGTTTGCTTGATATGTTTTCCTCCAAAGCTTTACCGAGATAAGATAGAGAAGAAACGAACGACGAAAATTAATGATATAGACACGAATATGTAAATTCTATGGCAAATTGGCGAAATATTTTCGTATAACTGTCAAGCTGAAGATGAGCATCTCGAATAGTAAACGATAGGTAAATATGAATAATTTATTTGAAGAGACACAACCGCGATATATCAACTCGATGAATTAACGTTGTAAGTAATATGTCACTGCGAAATATTTAATTAACTCGACAGGCTAGCAGCCTCTGGAAACTCCATAGATTACATTAGCTCCGAGTAGAAATGTTATTTTGTAATTAAAGCAACAGCTACCAGCGTATCGTATGTTTATCATCTGGCTATGACTAATGAAACATTGTTTTCGACAAGGAGCAGGTTAATTAAACATGACGTGAAAAATTTGTAAACGTATGATTATTAATATAATGTAATTTCTAAACTCGAGTAAATTATTCTGGTTAAAATATGCAATCGTCAGAAAAAACGGAAGGAAGTTCCTAGCACTACGCTTCTCCTCGTGTTTCTCGTGTGCTATTTGAATTGCAAATTCACGTGACTCCGAAAACCGAGTAAACGATAGATGTAAACTGAATGACGTTACGTTAACCCCTTCCCGTACTTTAGCGAGTCAGACTCGCGATGAAGATTTTGGCCCAAACATGAATATCGCGAGTCTGACTAGATACTTGGGTCAAACGTAAACATAACAAGCCGAGCTCGAGGATTGTTTTTTGTCCGTTACGATCGTGACTGAATGTTAGTTCCTGTTTACGAGCATCAGTTTGGTCTGTTTCGTCGAGCTAAATGTCACGGGAAGGGGTTAACGTCTCAGATACTTGGGCCAAGCTTAAACATAACAAGCCGAGCTCGCGGACTGTTTTTTCGCCCGTTACGATCGCGACTGAATGTTAGTTCCTGTCTACGAGCATCAGTCTGGTCTGTTTAGCGCGCGTCGATGTCTACCGCTTGGGCCAGAGTTTCGTCGAACTAAATGGCACGGGAAGGGGTTAAGATCAGTGTAGACGAATCGACGTGGCATCAATGTGATTTTATAACGATGACCTTGTGCGGTTTAGCAGATTAATATACTGTTCTCTGAGTTAATATAACTGCATCCAGATCTGGAAAATTATACTGATTCGAAGTCAGGGGAAGGAAAGTTTTCATTCGAAGAAATGGGTCGAGAGATGCGAATGGCGTACGAACAAAAAACGGCTCTAGATGTATGTATAACGTATATTTACCTGGTGAAAAAGGATTATGGAACGGAGGACGTGAAATAACGGCTATGCTCGCTGGCGAGTTACTATCACAGATATTGTAAACGATGAATTGTATAGTTATTATGTGTGTAAAAGTATCGTGAAACAAATTCAAGTATGCCCGACGTTCGTAAGTATGTACGTACATACCTTGTTCGATTATGACGATCGATCGCTATTCTGCTCATATGATATTATATCGAACGAAGAAACGAAGAAGCTACCTCTTAATATTCGGAAGCTAACAAAAGCAAGACTATTAAAATCCCGCGCAGGTGTTCTCCGAAACTTACACTCGATAGCGTAGAATCGAGAATCAAGAAAATCATACTCGACCATTCGTGGATATTCGACGCTTCGCTCTAGAAACTGACACGATACAAATGATCAGAATGGGCAGTTATGCCACAGATTACCGTGACTAATACGCGTATCGAACGCCATCGTCGAACAATGGCTACGAACAAGGTGCCGGGATACCGCATGGTATTCGCCATTCCAACTTGATTCTAAGGTGTCGTAATAATATATTACAGAGATTTAATTGTAAGTTAAGCGGCGGTCATGCACTGGCCACGTTGCGGCCAACCGGCCGATTAGTCTCTTTTGTAAATGAGAATAAGTGAATGAAATAAATATATACATGTGACCGCGTAAGTGAAACAAAATTAAATGTGTTTCCTCTGCATGCAATATTTTCCTCGCCAGGATACCACAAATTTACAGAAAGATAATTTCGTATTATCTAATACGATCAAATAAATCTAATTATTTTCAGATATTTGAAATTACAATTTTCGGGCATTTAGGATTACGATTATAAAATGTACTTAATATCTAAAGAAATGAAGATGTTACTTGTTGAACTTCACCGATTCGCTAATAAAATACATCTAACTTATCACAAACAAAGCAAAAAATCGGTATGCATAACGCGATTCGTAAAACTTTAGCTTCGTCTAATCAGCAGCAGTGGTAATCTTTCGAATGTTGAGATGTACTCCTCCTAAAGCTTTCGTGATGACTCCTTTGGGATCTAGGACCACTGAAGTTTTGGTTTTCTCACAAGGTGAAACTTCGTAGTCCTTCAAAATCTGTACGATTCCAAGTTTGGATTGCATGAGTCCCAATCGCATACCTGAAACGAAGAGTAAAAGAAAGAAATCATCGACAGAAAGTCTAAAGATGCACATTGGTACTCGCATCTTTCTTATAATATGAATAACATGTTGAAGTAACATGAGTAGGATCTTAGTAAATTATCTATTTGGGAATGTGTGTTACAGTAGAACTACATTTGTCTAATAATCATAAACTGTATGGATTTGTCTGATAATAGAACGTGGTAAACTGTACCAAATTCATATGTTTAATAGATAATGCCGTGCAATGCGTTATCAAATATTTATTCACATTCTGGTAGTTTCTTCTCAACTAGTGGTGCAAAAAGGAGATAAACTTCTGTTCGATTGTATTCTTCCGTTTTCAAATTTTCTAGTCGTCCTCTATAACTGTAACATACTTCAGCATATAGCTGGTGATGTTTAATTTTACCGTATGCACGTTCTGCAGTCAAAAGAGATTTGAAAGCAGAGACGCAGGTTCCTTAATAAAAATATTCGTATGTAATAATAATATAAGAAGTAAGTAATATAAAACATAAAAGTGATTTCGCCATGTAACTACTGTGAGAAAGTGCCTGTTGAGATTAAGATTTCCACACATCGCATTTTGTAGATTTTATATAATGTGATTGCAAACCGTCCTACGTAAAAAAATAAGTACCTTATCGTTAATAATATAGGTACAGTTTAAAGAAAGGAATACCGATCTTCACATGTATGTACCTATGTCCTTGAAGTATACATTTCTACACATATATGTATTTCATTTCGATTCTTTTAATACTACTTTCATACGATTGCCATCGATAGCTCTGGCGTTAAAGATATTGGAAAATATTGCGGAAAATTTTACTAACCAATGCAGCCGCGGGGTCCCCCACCAAAGGGCAAATAGGCGAAACTTGGCCTGGTACTTTTGGCTTCCTCGGTAAATCGGAGTGGATCGTATTTTTCCGGATTCGGGAAGTACCGCGGATCGTAGTGTAAACCCATTATCGAAATGAATATTCCGGTGCCTTTCTCTATCACCAGATCGGAATTAGGCACTTTGTAATCGGCAACGGTAACTCGATCCAAGTGTGCTGCAGATGGATATTTACGAAGAGTTTCAGAAATTACCATATCGAGGTATGGTAACGTCATAATCTGTGAAACGTTATATTTCTTAGTATGTTTACAATTATATTACAACCCTTTTTCACATACTATCCATGTGCCTCTCTCGTGTTTCTAATTTAACATTTTTGTAGTTTCCGTACCATATCGTATGTGATTTTGCCATCAGTTTTCGCCAGAGCATCGCGAATCTCTGCCCTAAGTGTCTTCTGTATATCTGGGTTCATTGCAAGTTCGTGCAGTGTGAAAGAAATGGCTGTAGAAGATGTTTCAGTACCAGCAATAAGAAACATGATCGCTTGTGCCACTAAATCGTCACCGTCGAATTCTGAGACATGCAAATTAAACATCATCGCAAAAGTTCAGCAAAACGATCTAGTATATTTAGTACAATTGGAAAATAACTTGAAAGGAAATTATTTTTCGTCCGTTTCGTTGGGAGCTCGCGAAATAAGAATGTGCATAAAATTATAATTTATAGATTTCTGACGATTCTTAAATAACTTCATCGATAGAAGATAATAAAACATTGCAGCAAATACATACTGTAATCCTTCAAATGTTCGTCGTTCTTGTATGTTTTCCTGATCTCGATTAGCACATCGACGAGGTCATTCTTCTTCTGACCGGAATCGACTCGTTGTTCAATCACATCCCAGAAAACAGATTCGAAGAAGTTAGTTACGTTTTTGCTAAGTAACTTCGGCTTAAGACACTTGACTAACTGAGGCGAGAAGGATATGATATGTGACTCAATGTTACGATAGAAATTAGAATGGAAGATCTTCCTGCCATATTCACGGAACGGTGTTTTTGGATTCTTTATCGCACCTACTTTTAAACCAAACGCAGTGCTACCGATCATATCGGTGATGAAATTCCCGCAAATATCCTTGAACTCGATTACTTTTCCATCGCCTGAAACAGATATTAGATTTCCTATGTTGTGTCTTGCATTATTGCATTTTTAATCAAGAAACGATTGTTGCAAAATTTGAAGTCTCTCGCATCAAGAGGATTGACTTTTAATTCTGTTAAACATTTTTCTTAAGTGAGAGTCATTGTTTTAAAAATATATATTGAACTATCAACAGTTTTATTATGTTATTTATTTATGTTATTATGTAAATGCACCGAAAAAGCGGTTTACCCTCCAAATGCAACGAATCGAGATACATTCCAAGATCGTCTGCGACCGCCAAAATTAAATCGAACATTATCTTCTGCTTTCCCGGGGTAAAAATCGGCGTCATCTTTGGCCTGAAAGATTTCCATCCTGGATTTCTCATCAGTATCATATTTGCGTATCCAATACGATCATCTTTCTCATCTGCAGTCGCGTATCTATCAGGGAAATAATCGAAGTCTTTCACTAGCACGTGCTTCGCGAGTTCTGGATCGCGAATTAACAAGTGAGGGTTGTCGAAGGCGTAGAATCCCATCAAAGGCAAGCCTTTGCCGTTATCGTATACGTCCTTGAGAAATTCCGAGGCTGATTTTCTTGACAGAAGGCAGTCCATGATGTTGCCTACGAAAGGCGTAGGTGCAAGCTGTGTGATTCCTCGTTTCGACCAGTAGTTGAATTTACGAGTCATGTAGAGATAAGCGGCAACCATCAGAGTCGAAAGGATGAGGATGCCATCCAGACTCCAGTATAGCGTTAATAAGGCCATTTTAAATGAGTCTGAGAAGAAAAAATGTTTTTCTTGGTCTCAGAAGATAACATTTATCAGCACCTCTTGGATTGCGAATTATCATGGATTTAGAGAAATGCAAAAGCTGGACAATATTTCGCGGAATGCTTCATTGTAATACAATCGTCCTCGAGACTCGTTACGCTTGCTTCTTATGTTGAGGGAAATGTAGAAGTCTATCTTCCCTTTAGTCGGATATTCTTTTTCTCAAAGTCGACGCCACTCTGATACTGCGGTACGAGGGAGGGCAAATGCTGAGGGGATGTACACACTCCGATCATTCAGCGACTACTTAGAGGCTCGAACCTCGGTGACAAGGTTTATGGAACGTCGATTGGGGTATACATATCAGCAATAAGTTAATGTTGTAAATAATTTGCCCGGAGCGTCTAAAAATTCGACGTCACGTTTCCGTCGCAAACTTTGTACTTCGCTCAGCCCCCTGTTTGCATCTTGGGTATTGATATTTTATTTAATGAATGTAAAATAAACCATTATTTGTGTTTAATGTCATTCATAAAAATACGAAATTGCACAAATATCTGGAGGTCTGTTAACATACAATAAATGAAATATGTTATCATTCTCTGGTTAAAAAAAATCACTAATGTCAGTTGTTTTAAAATTTTAAGAACTTGTTGACCTATGACAAAACTTATTTTGTCAATTATTAATCTAATAGGAACACTTTCCTAATGTTTTTATAAAGAACATGAAATATAATAATAGAACCGGCTTTCTGTTTGAACACAATTGTATATTATTTAATCAACGAGTAATTCGCTGGCACAGAGTATTGAATATTCTGGCTTCTCGCGTGGAGTGATTCAAGATTAGAGTTTTCATCAAGGAGTGGAGAATATTAGAAAGGGAATACCATTTAAGAAAACTATATTCTATGAGATGGACGTAGTTTGTTCAAATAGAAGAATAGATAAAACGTAAATGTAAATCATTTTCTCAAAAAGCATTTTAGTGAGAGTACAATGATTGTATCCGTGACTGATCTGTATAATGGTTCGGATTTGGTGGAATCTGCTTTCTTTTCCACGTGCATCCCCATTAATTAAAGACAAACAGTAAAATTTCGGTGTAATTAGGAAAATACTGCTCGATTAAAACTGAGTAAATGATTCAGAAAAGGAAGAAATGGTACATAAGTTCGTGAAACAGAGTAGGGACACATTTGAATCTAATTTGCAAAATAAAAGAGGAAAATTATCAGAAAATGATAGAAAAATAGAACAGATAATCTAATTCCGCGGTGTGTGTTGCAGTGAAAAATACCGTACGTACCGCTATGAAACGATTTCTTCACTAGTCACAGATGCCAAATAAAATAAGAAAATATTTCCGAAGCTTGTAATGTACATTACGAGAGTGAGCTTTGCATTGTCAGCTGTGATGGTATATATGTCTCATTTGTAATCTCCCCTCTCTTGTGAAATTTACCGCTGAATCATTGCTAGCTGACAAAGTGCCATTTGCGAAAAATTCTCGCAGCAGATTTTAGCATCGAGCAAATGGTAAGAATTGGCATCTTAACTGGTGAGACATTTTGTTCGAAGTTATCAATTGTTTTTAATGTATAATTAACATCTCGACCATAACTCACTACTTGATTTTCACACATTAAGAAACATATTCTAAAATTTCTATCCACAGCACCAACGTTTTGAATATTATACAATTATCGTAAAGAAATATTTCGACCAATGGTTTCCATGGAATGAGACAATGAAAAAATTGCATAGAAAACTGAATTTTCACAATCAGCAACAAGGTATAGATATTGGAAAGTGTCTTTTTATCACATTCCCATTTCTAGACAATGCGGGACAAATAGCAGGACAAATTAGAAGGGTTTGGGTCATATAAATGACAATATTCTCTAATTTCGCACAAAGGTATCTTTTACCATTTTTCCAACATGACCTAGAGTATATTTGCTTAAAGTACATATTCTAGAACATGCATCATATCATCTATTATAACGAATTATCTTTTGCATAATTGAAAAGGTGTTATCAATGAAGTTGGAGATTACAATGTATCAGCGTTATTCTCCTGCTTAATAGCAAAAAGTGCCGTAATATAGGCAGTAATATTTTAGAAGTAACATACGTGATAACTTCATATTCAACCATCATTTTTGTTGTGAGGTGTCAAGTGAAATTACTAAAATCATTAAAAATGTACAAGTTATTAACAGGTGAATAATCTCAATTGCTAATAAATATTATGTAAAATGTAATCTGCAATTTGTTAAATTTTTAACCCGTCTATGGAAAGATATCTTTGGCTTAAATGCTTATTCCTTATACTGCTATTGTTACATGCTGAATTATTATCGAACATGAGAGATACATATGGTATATTAGAATATATGTATGATTTAGATAATAAACAGTCTTTTTTATGGTTGAATGTGATCTTTCATTTAGCAAGGAATAAACGCAAAAGTCATGCCAACATTTTAATATCCAAATCCGTATATATGTGATTACTTTCTGACAAAAGTGACGCAGCCATGTGACATATATCTTTGTATGTTTTATTTAATCTGATTGCAAATTGTTCTATGTAAAACATATGTACCCTATCGCAATACTATCGTGTATAATCATAAGAAAAATCTCGCTACAATCGAACTACAATGTAAATATATAGTGGCAGTGCTGATATGCAAAGGATGTTTTGGTAGAAACAGTTAGTCGTTAGTTGCAAGTTAGTTGGAGTTAATCACGAGCCGTGAGTTGTGACTTGAGAGTTGCATTCCGATTAGTTGTGTTATATTACTACATTAAGCTCTACTTAAATAATCATCGTTTCCCTGTTTCAATCACTGTAAATAAATCCATTAAATAAATAAAGTCATTATATAAGATTTCGTATTATTTAATATTACATTTGATATAAATTAACAATACATAAGTTCAGTTATTTTTAGATACATAAAATTATAATTATTGTACATTTACGATTACAATTTTAAAATATATTTAATACCTAAAGATTCATTTCTTGATTCCGAGAAAGAAATGACGATTATACTTCGTGAACTTTGTCGATTCGGAAGTAAAATATATCTAACTTATCACAAACAAAGCAGAAAATTGGAATGCATAACGCGATTCGCAAAACTTTAGCTTCGTCTAAACAGCGGCAGTAGTCTTTCGAATGTTGAGATGTACTCCTCCTAAAGCTGTCGTGATGATTCCTTTGGGATCTAGGATAATTGGAATTTTGGTCTTTTCACAAGGTGAAATTTCGTAGTCCTTCAAAATCTGTACGACTCCAAGTTTGGATTGCATGAGTCCCAATCGCATACCTGAAACAAAAAGTGAAAGATTAAGATTAAAAGTGACAGCTAACAGAATGTTTAAAGATACACGTTGCAACTTGCATCTTTTTTATCATACCAGTGACAAGAATACAAACTTAATCAATTATCTATTCGGGAATGTGTGCTACGGTAGAAATCTATTTGTTTAATAATCATAAACTGTGTCAATATGTCTGATGGCAAAATTATTTCGTCTAGCAGGCCATACAGTGGAACGCGTTATTAAATATTTATTTACATTCTGGCAGTCTATTCTCAACTAGTTGTTAGCAAAGGAGATAAACTTCTGTTTGATTGTATTCTTCCGTTTTCTAACATACTTCGGCATATAGCTGATGTTTAATTTTACCGTATGTACGTTCTGCAGTCAAAAGAGATTTGAAAGCAAAGAGATGTAGATTCCTTAACAAAAATGTTAGTATGTAATACTAATATAACAAGATATGTGAAAGTCAAACCAAATTTTCTAACTGCCAATGTATCTAATTTGTCTACTTATTTTAGTTTTAATTTTATATTCGTTTGATTATGGCGAGGCAGGTCATGCACACAGTGTGATATTTCGAGCCGTGTAAAGATTCTTTAAAGATTGAGTGGGATAAAAGTAATTTCGCCATATAACTACTGTGAGAAAGTGCCTGTTGAGATTAAAATTTCCACACGCCGCATTTTGTAGATCGTAAGTAATAAGATTGCAAATTGTCCTACGTTAAAAAATAAATGCCTTATCGTTAATAATGTAAGCACAGTTTAAAGAAACGAATACTGATCTTCACATGTATGTATCTATGCCCTTGAAGTCCACACACATATGTATTTCATTTCGATTCTTTTAACTCTACTTTCCTACGATAGTCGTCGATAGCTCTGGCATTAAAGATATTGGAAAATATTGCGGAAGATTTTACTTACCAAGGCAGATGCGGGGACCCGCACCAAAGGGCAAGTAGGCGAAATTTGGCCTGGTACTTTTGGCTTCCTCGGTAAATCGGAGTGGATCGTATTTTTCCGGATTCGGGAAATACCGCGAATCGTAGTGCAAACCCATTATCGAAATGAATATTGGGGTGCCTTTCTCTATCACCAGATCGGAATTAGGCACTTTGTAATCGGCAAGAGTAACCCGATTCAAGTTTGGTACAGATGGATATTTACGAAGAGTTTCAAAAAGTACCATATCCAGATATGGTAGCGTCGTAATCTGTAAAACATTATATTTCTTAGTATGTTTAGAACTATATTATAACCTGTTTCACATACTCTCGTGTTTCTACGTTAATATTTTTATAGTTGGCGTACCATATCGTATGTGATTTCACCATCAGTTTTCTCTAAAGCATCCAGAATCTCTTTCCTAAGTGTCTGCTGTACATCAGAGTTCCTTGCAAGTTCGTACAGTGTGAAAGACATGGTAGCAGCAGACGTTTCAAAACCAGCAGCAAAAAATATGGCCGCTTGTGCCACTAAATCGTCACCCTCGAAGTCTGAAAAATGCATATTAAACATCATCGGAAAAGTTCAGCAAATCGATCTATTATATTTAGTACAATTGGAAAATGACTTGAAAGTAAATTAGCAAATATAGATATTTGCGCATAATTTTCAATTTGTGACATGAATATAATTATATTGGAAGAAGTAGTCATGTTATTGATATACAGGGTGGTTGGTAAATGGTGGTACAAGCGGAAAAGGGGTGATTCTACGCGAAAAAAGAAGTCGAAAATATAAAATAAAAATTTTTCGTTCGAGGCTTTGTTTTCGAGAAGATCGTCTTTGAATTTTCGCTCAGTACGCATGCACTTTATCACGTCTCGTTATATCGGCCCTCATTGTAGATTTTAAAAAAAATTAAAAAAAAAAATTAAAAAAAATTTTTATTTTATATTTTCGACTTCTTTTTTCGCGTAGAATCACCCCTTTTCCGCTTGTACCACCATTTACCAACCACCCTGTATATCAATAACATTGCTACGGTAGAAATCTATTTGTTTAATAATCATAAACTGTGTCAATATGTCTGATGGCAAAATTATTTCGTCTAGCAGGCCATACAGTGGAACGCGTTATTAAATATTTATTTACATTCTGGCAGTCTATTCTCAACTAGTTGTTAGCAAAGGAGATAAACTTCTGTTTGATTGTATTCTTCCGTTTTCTAACATACTTCGGCATATAGCTGATGTTTAATTTTACCGTATGTACGTTCTGCAGTCAAAAGAGATTTGAAAGCAAAGAGATGTAGATTCCTTAACAAAAATGTTAGTATGTAATACTAATATAACAAGATATGTGAAAGTCAAACCAAATTTTCTAACTGCCAATGTATCTAATTTGTCTACTTATTTTAGTTTTAATTTTATATTCGTTTGATTATGGCGAGGCAGGTCATGCACACAGTGTGATATTTCGAGCCGTGTAAAGATTCTTTAAAGATTGAGTGGGATAAAAGTAATTTCGCCATATAACTACTGTGAGAAAGTGCCTGTTGAGATTAAAATTTCCACACGCCGCATTTTGTAGATCGTAAGTAATAAGATTGCAAATTGTCCTACGTTAAAAAATAAATACCTTATCGTTAATAATGCAAGTACAGTTTAAAGAAACGAATACTGATTTTCACATGTATGTACCCATGTCCTTGAAGTATACATTTCTACACATATATGTATTTCATTTCGATTCTTTTAATACTACTTTCATACCATTGCCATCGATAGCTCTGGCGTTAAAGATATTGGAAAACATTGCGGAAAATTTTACTAACCAATGCAGCCGCGGGGTCCCCCACCAAAGGGCAAGTAGGCGAAACTTGGCCTGGTACTTTTGACTTCCTCGGTAAATCGAAGTGGATCGTATTTTTCCGGATCCGGGAAGTATCGCGAATCGTAGTGCAAACCCATGATAGAAATGAATATTGGGGTGCCTTTCTCTATCACCAGATCGAAATTAGGCACTTTGTAATCGGCAACGGTAACTCGATCCATGTATGCTACAGCTGGATATTTACGAAGACTTTCAGAAATTACCATATCGAGGTATGGTAGTGTCGCAATCTGTAAAACGTTATATTTCTTAGAATGTTTACAACTATATAATAACCCCCTTCACATACTGTTCATTTGCGTTCCTAAATTAATGTTTTTGTAGTTGCCGTACCATATCGTATGTGATTTTGCCATCAGTTTTCTCTAGAGCATCCTGAATCTCTGCTCTAAGCATCTTCTGCACATCTGGGTTCACTGCAAGTTCGTGCAGTGTGAAAGACATGGTAGTAGAAGATGTTTCAAAACCAGCAGCAAATAATATGGCCGCTTGTGCCAATAAATCGTCACCATCGAAGTCTGAAACATGCAAATTAAACATCATCGCAAAAGTTCAGCAAAACGATCTAGTATATTTAGTACAATTGGAAAATAACTTGAAAGGAAATTATTTTTCGTCCGTTTCGTTGGGAGCTCGCGAAATAAGAATGTGCATAAAATTATAATTTATAGATTTCTGACGATTCTTAAATAACTTCATCGATAGAAGATAATAAAACATTACAGCAAATACATACTGTAATCCTTCAAATTTTCATCGCTCTTGTATGTTTTCCTGATCTCGATTAGCACATCGATGAGGTCATTCCTCTTTTGACCGCAAGCGACTCGTTGTTCAATCACATCCCAGAAAACAGATCGGAGGAAGTTAGTCGCTTTTTCTCCAAAGAACTTCGGTTTGAGATACTTGGCTAACTGAGGCGAGAAGGATATGATAAGTGACTCCATGTTACGATGAAAACTAGAATGGAAGATCTTCCTGCCATATTCACGGAACGGTGCTTTTGGATTCTCCAACGAACCCAGTTTTAAGCCAAACGCAGTGCCACCGATCATATCGGTGGTGAAATTCGCGCAAATATCCTTGAACTCGACTACCTTTCCATCGCCTGAATCAGATATTAGATTGCCATTGTTGCATTTTTAATCACGAAACAATAGTTGCAAAATTTGAAGTCTCTCGCATCAAGAGAATTGACTTTTGATTTTGTTAAACACTTCTATTAAGTGAGAATCATTGTTTCAAAAATATATATTGATCTAACAACAGTTTCTCATGGTTAATCTATTATTATGTAAATACACTATTAAAGCGGTTTACCCTCCAAATGCAACGAATCCAGATGCTTTCCAAGATCGTCAGCTGCTACCAACATTATATCGAACATTTTCTTCAGCTTGCCCGGGGTAAAAGCCGGCGTCAATTTTGGCCTAAGAGATTTCCATCCCGGATTTTTCATCAGAACCACATTTGCGTATCCAAAACGATCATCTTTCTCATCTGCAGTCGCGTACTTATCAGGGAAATAGTCGAAGTCCTTCACTAGGACGTACTTCACGAGTTCTGGATCGCGAACTAAGAGGTAAGGTTTGTCGAAGACGTAGAATCCCAGCAAAGGGAAACTTTCGCCGCAATCGTATACGTCCTTGACAAATAGTGAGCCCGATTTTCTTGATAGGAGACAGTCCATAAAGTTGCCTACGAAAGGCGTAGGTGCGAGCTGTGTGATTCCTCGTTTCGGCCAGTGGTTGAATTTACGAGTCATGTAGAGATAAGCGGCAACCATCAGGGTCGAAAGGATGAGGATGCCATCCAGACTCCAGTATAGCGATAATAACGCCATTTTAGATGAGCCTGACAAGAAAGAATGTTTTTGTTGGTCTCAGAAGATAATATTTATCAGCACCTCTTGGATTGCGAATTATCATGGATTTAGAGAAATGCGAAAGCTCGACAATATTTCGTGAAACGCTTCGTGGTAATACAATCACTCTGGATACTCGTCACGTTTGCTTCTTATGTTGAGGGAAATGTAGACGTCCACTCTCCCTTTGGTCGGATATTCTTTATCCGAATGTCGACGCCACTCTGATACTGCGGAACGAGGGAAGGTGACTGGTAAGAGGGGTGTACGCATCTCGACCACCCAGCGGATACCTAGAGGATCGTGTCTCGGTGACAAGGTTTACGATACATCGATTGGGGTATTCGTATCGGCAACTAGTTAATGTTGTAAGACATTGGCATCGTCTCATAATTTGCAACTTCGTTCATAAAAATAAGAAACTCCACTAACATTTGCGCGTTTAGTAATATAAGTAATGTATTATTTTATTGGTCTTTGATATTTAAAAAAATCACTAATATGTGTCCTCCTAAAGTCTTCCGTTTTCTTACTAACTTTAAGAATATTTTTAATCCGTGACAGAAGTACAATGATTGTATCCGTGACTGATCCGTATAATCGTTTGGATTTGGTGGACTCTGCTTCCTTTTCCACGTGCATGACCATTAATTGTATACAAACAGTAAAATTTCGGTGTAATTCGGCAAATATTGCTCGATTAGAACTGAGTAAATGATTCAGAAAGGGACGAAAAGGTAACATATTACACTTTCGTAAGTTCGTGAAACAGAGTAGGGACACATTTGAATCTAATTTGCAAAATACAATAGGAAAATTATCAGAAAATAATAGAAAAATAGAACAGATAATCTAATTCCGCGGTGTGTGTTGCAGTGAAAAATACCGTACGTACCGTTATGAAACGATTTCTTGACTAGTCACAAGCACTATAAGGTAACAGATACCAAATAAAATAAAAAAATATTTCCGAAGCTTGTAATGTACAATACGAGAGTGAGCTTTGCATTGTCCGCTGTAACAGTGTATACGTCTCATTTGTAGTCTCCCCTCTCTTGTGAAATATTACCAGTGAATTATTGCTTGCTGACAAAGTGCCATTTGCGAAAAATTCTCGTAGAAAATTTTAGCATCGAGCAAATGGTAAAAATTGGTATCTTAACTGGTAAGACATTTTGTTCGAAGTTATCAATTGTTTTTAATGTATAATTAACATCTCGGCCATAACTCACTACTTGATTTTCACACATTAAAAAACATATTCTAAAATTTCTATCCACAGCACCAACATTTTGAATATTATACAATAATCGTAAAGAAGTATTTCGACCAATGGTTTCCATGGAATGAGACAATGAAAAAATTGCATAGAAAACTGAATTTTCACAAACAGCAACAAGGTATAGATATTGGAAAGTGTCTTTTTATCACATTCCCATTTCTAGACAATGCGGAACAAATAGCAGGACAAATTAGAAGGGTTTGGGTCATATAAATGTCAGTAATCTATAATTTCGCGCAAAGATGTTTTTTACCATATTTCCAACATGACCTAGAGCATATCTGCTTAAATTACATATTCTAGAACATATATTATATCATCTATTACAACGAATTATCTTTTGCATAATTGAAAAGGTATTATCAATGAAGATAGAGGCAGCGGTGTAACCTCGGCGTTATTCACCTGCATAATAATAAAAAATACAGTAATATAGGTAGTAATATTTTAGTAATAGAAATAACATAACTGATAATCTCATATTCAACCATAATTCAAATTCGTGAAATTATTAAAATTAATAAAAATGTACAAATTATTAACAGGTGAATAATCTCCATTGCTAATAAATACTATGGAGGTTCTCAATTACGAAGTTATCCAGGAGATTTAGAGTCAGATTTCACAGAAAAATTTCTACGACTTATTGCTCCATTCATTGCGCAATAAATATTTGTAAAATGTATTGATAAATAATGTTAGGAATGTAATCTAATTTAAAAAATTAAAGAAAAAAATTTGTATTCTATATTTTCGACTTCTTTTTTCGCGTAGAATCATCCCCTTTCCGCTTGTACCACCAGTTACCAACCACCCTGTATAATGGAAGTGCTGACAGGCAAAGGATCTTTTGGAGAACGTTAGTCGTTAGTTAGTTGCAAGTTAATTGGAGTTAGTCACGAGCCGTGAGTTGTGACTTGAGAGTTGGATCTCGATTAGTTGTATTACATTACTACAATAAGCTGTAATTAAATAATCGTCGTTTTCCTGTTTCAATCACTGCAAATAAGTCCATTAAATAAATAAAGTCATTATATAAGATTTCGTATTATTTAATATTACATTCGATATAAATTAACAATACATAAGTTAAGTTATTTTTAGATACATAAAATTATAATTATTGTACATTTACGATTACAATTTTAAAATATATTTAATACCGAAAGATTCATTTCTTCCGAGAAAGAAATGACGATTATACTTCGTGAACTTTGTCGATTCGGAAGTAAAATATATCTAATTTATCACAAATAAAGCAGAAAATTGGAATGCATAACGCGATTCGCAAAACTTTAGCTTCGTCTAAACAGCGGCAGTAGTCTTTCGAATGTTGAGATGTACTCCTCCTAAAGCTGTCGTGATGATTCCTTTGGGATCTAGGATAATTGGAATTTTGGTCTTTTCACAAGGTGAAATTTCGTAGTCCTTCAAAATCTGTACGACTCCAAGTTCTATCTGTACGATTCCAAGTTTGGCTTGCATGAGTCCCAATCGCATACCTGAAACGAAAAGTGAAAGATTAAGATTAAAAGTGACAGCCAACAGAATGTTTAAAGATACACGTTACTACTTGCATCTTTTTTATCATACCAGTGACAAGAATACAAACTTAATCAATTATCTATTCGGGAATGTGAGCTACGGTAGAAATATATTTGTTTAATAATCGTAAACTGTGTCAATATGTCTGATGGCAAAATTATTTCGTCTAGCAGGCCATACAGTGGAACGCGTTATTAAATATTTATTTACATTCTGGCAGTCTATTCTCAACTAGTTGTTAGCAAAGGAGATAAACTTCTGTTTGATTGTATTCTTCCGTTTTCTAACATACTTCGGCATATAGCTGATGTTTAATTTTACCGTATGTACGTTCTGCAGTCAAAAGAGATTTGAAAGCAAAGAGATGTAGATTCCTTAACAAAAATGTTAGTATGTAATACTAATATAACAAGATATGTGAAAGTCAAACCAAATTTTCTAACTGCCAATGTATCTAATTTGTCTACTTATTTTAGTTTTAATTTTATATTCGTTTGATTATGGCGAGGCAGGTCATGCACACAGTGTGATATTTCGAGCCGTGTAAAGATTCTTTAAAGATTGAGTGGGATAAAAGTAATTTCGCCATATAACTACTGTGAGAAAGTGCCTGTTGAGATTAAAATTTCCACACGCCGCATTTTGTAGATCGTAAGTAATAAGATTGCAAATTGTCCTACGTTAAAAAATAAATGCCTTATCGTTAATAATGTAAGCACAGTTTAAAGAAACGAATACTGATCTTCACATGTATGTATCTATGCCCTTGAAGTCCACACACATATGTATTTCATTTCGATTCTTTTAACTCTACTTTCCTACGATAGTCGTCGATAGCTCTGGCATTAAAGATATTGGAAAATATTGCGGAAGATTTTACTTACCAAGGCAGATGCGGGGACCCGCACCAAAGGGCAAGTAGGCGAAATTTGGCCTGGTACTTTTGGCTTCCTCGGTAAATCGGAGTGGATCGTATTTTTCCGGATTCGGGAAATACCGCGAATCGTAGTGCAAACCCATTATCGAAATGAATATTGGGGTGCCTTTCTCTATCACCAGATCGGAATTAGGCACTTTGTAATCGGCAAGAGTAACCCGATTCAAGTTTGGTACAGATGGATATTTACGAAGAGTTTCAAAAAGTACCATATCCAGATATGGTAGCGTCGTAATCTGTAAAACATTATATTTCTTAGTATGTTTAGAACTATATTATAACCTGTTTCACATACTCTCGTGTTTCTACGTTAATATTTTTATAGTTGGCGTACCATATCGTATGTGATTTCACCATCAGTTTTCTCTAAAGCATCCAGAATCTCTTTCCTAAGTGTCTGCTGTACATCAGAGTTCCTTGCAAGTTCGTACAGTGTGAAAGACATGGTAGCAGCAGACGTTTCAAAACCAGCAGCAAAAAATATGGCCGCTTGTGCCACTAAATCGTCACCCTCGAAGTCTGAAAAATGCATATTAAACATCATCGGAAAAGTTCAGCAAATCGATCTATTATATTTAGTACAATTGGAAAATGACTTGAAAGTAAATTAGCAAATATAGATATTTGCGCATAATTTTCAATTTGTGACATGAATATAATTATATTGGAAGAAGTAGTCATGTTATTGATATACAGGGTGGTTGGTAAATGGTGGTACAAGCGGAAAAGGGGTGATTCTACGCGAAAAAAGAAGTCGAAAATATAAAATAAAAATTTTTCGTTCGAGGCTTTGTTTTCGAGAAGATCGTCTTTGAATTTTCGCTCAGTACGCATGCACTTTATCACGTCTCGTTATATCGGCCCTCATTGTAGATTTTAAAAAAAATTAAAAAAAAAAATTAAAAAAAATTTTTATTTTATATTTTCGACTTCTTTTTTCGCGTAGAATCACCCCTTTTCCGCTTGTACCACCATTTACCAACCACCCTGTATATCAATAACATGACTACTTCTTCCAATCGTAATTCACAGAGTTCGTTATTCGAAATTTCTGATTTTCGACGATTGATACATAATTTCATTAATAGAAATTAGTAAAATATTGCAGTAAATACATACTGTAATTCTTCAACCTTTCGTCGCTCTTGTATGTCTCCCTGATCTCTGTCAGCACATCAATGAGATCATGTCTTTTTTGACCCGAAACGACTCGTTGTTCAATCACATCCCAGAAAACAGATTGGAGGAATTTAGTGGCTATTTTTCCAAAGAGTTTCGGTTTGAGATACTTGGATAACTGAGGCATGAAGATTATGGTAAGGAACTCCATGTTACGTTGGTAATTAGTATCAAAGATCCTCCTGCCATATTCACGGAACGGTGTTTTTGGATTCTCCAACGAATTTAGTTTTAAGCCAAACGCAATGCCACTGATCATGTCGGTGGCGAAGCTCGCGCAAATATCTTTGAACTCTATTACTTTTCCATCGCCTGAAAGAGATATTAGATTTCCTATGATGTGTCTAGCATTGTTGCATTTTTAATCAAGAAACAATAGTTGCAAAATTTAAAAAGTCTCTCTCATCAAGAGAATTGACTTTTAATTTTGTTAAACATTTCTATTAAATAAGAATTATTGTTTTAAAAATATACAGGGTGGTTGGTAACTGGTGGTACAAGTGGAAAGGGGGTGATTCTGTCATGTGCACTTTATCACGTCTCGTTATAACGGATCTCACTGTAGATCGTTGTCTCGATGGAAAAATTTAAAAAAAAAAAGAAAAATTAAAACAAAAATTTTTATTCTATATTTTCAACTTCTTTTTCCGCGTAGAATCATCCCCTTTCCGCTTGTACCATCAGTTACCAATCACCCTGTATATTGAGTTAACAACAATTTCACATATTCTATCTATTATTAAATAAATGTACTAAAAATGCGGCTTACCCTCCAAATGCAACGAATCGAGATACTTTCCGAGGTCGTCAGCGATCATCGCCATTAACATGAACATCTTCTTTAGCTTTCCCGGGGTAAAAATCGGCGTCATTTTTGGCCTGAGAGATTTCCATGCTGGATTTTTCATCAGTATCATATTTGCGTATCCAAGACGATCATTTTTCTCATCCGCAGTCGCGTACCTGTCAGCGAAATACTCAAAGTCCTTCACTAGAATGTGCTTCGCGAGTTCTGGATCGCGAACTAACAGGCAAGGTTTGTGGAAGATGTAGAAACCTAACAAAGGCATATCTTTGTCATAATTATATGCATCACTGAGAAATTGTGCGCCCGATCTTTTTGACAGTATGCAGTCCATGAAGTTGCCTACGAAGGGCGTAGGTTTAAGTTGTATGATTCCTCGTCTAGACCAGTAATTGTATTTCCGAATTACGAACAAATAAGCGGCAACCAACAGGGACGAAAAGATGAAGATGCCACACAGAGACCAGTATAGCGTTAATAACGCCATTATAAATAAGCCTGACAGGAAAACTGATCAGGAGTGGTTGGACTGATGATAAGACTTGGTTAACGAATTAAAATATTCACTGTATTTCAACAACTTCGTATATATAGATAGCTACGCGCTGTACGTGTAGATATAAGTTAGACTTACGACTGATTAATGAATAGAAAAGCAGTCAAGAGATGTTTCCTAATCTAAGGATGATGAATCAATGAACTTCGGCGATGATGTCGTAGCGGAGGAAAGCTATTAATGAGTGTGTCCGATGCGCAGAACCATCGGATTCGTTGATGGCAGTTCGGCTGAAAAAGTGAGGGCAACAGTCATTGCTTCTAATTGGCGAAGGAAAAGTTTGGTGGGTAAGGAAAGTCTAGTCGCCCCGGAAAGAAGGCTAACGGGAGAGCCAAGTTTTTCCTAAGTTCCCGGAGTGGACAATAAATTTAAGGAACATTTCACCTAATAAGATACTTGCTTGGTCTAAAGAATCTTAACTATGAAAATGCCAAGATTTATAGTGGGTCCTAAAGATTATAAGGGTGTGTAGACATCTGATTTGTGTAGGGAGGCACCTAACGTTACATACAGAAAATACAAAAGCTAGATAATATTTCGCGGAATGTTTCATTGTAATAAATCGTTCTCGAAACTCGTTACGCTTGCTTCTTATGTTGAGGGAAATGTAAGCGTTTACCTTCTCTTTAGTCGGATATTTTTTTTCTCAAAGTCGACGCCACTCTGATACTACGGTACGAGGAAGGGCAAGTGCTAAGGGGGTGTACGCACACCGATCACCGAGTGGTTACCTGTATCGGGCCTCGGTGATAGGGTTTACGATATGTCGAATGGGCCATTCGTATCGGTAACTAGTTAATATTGTTAGAAATTTGCCTCGCCTCATCCGATATTTCGATGTTTTTGCCGTAAACTTCGTACTTTGGACCGACCTCCGTTCGCATTCTAGGGCTTGTGACCGCTGTATATGATAAAAAACGCCATAGCAATTAAAAATTCATGAATGAAAATTAGATTCATGAGTATCCATGGTAAAACACTTGCTATAATATTCTGTCCTATGAGTGCAAAATAAACCTTCCTTTATATGTAACTTCCTTCATAAAAATACGAAACTCCAAGAAAATTTGCAAGTCTATTAACATGTAATTAATGTATTTATTACATCCGCTAAGTTTTTACGTAAATCAGAATCTAATGCTTGGTCGAGGCGGCCATTATCTGTCCAAATATAATTAGTCGGATCGTAATAATCCTTAAGAGCTGTCACGAAACAAAGCATTCGTATTGTACCATTATGACCCTTAATTGTTACAAGACATATTCAAGTCGAGACGTTCCTTATGATTATTGTTCCATCAGGTAAAAATGGTAAAGTCGCGTTTTCCCATTTTCAACGGTCATTTCCACCCGCAAGCGACCGGTGGTGGAGCGACCAACACCCAGCAATAGTTTTCCTCTGCGACAGCATCATCACCGAACTTTACTTTTCTATCTTTTGATCATTCAACAGGCGTTCGACAAAATGTGGCACGAAAGACCTTTATTCAAACTAAAGAAAATCCTACCACACATTCACTACTCCATCTTAATATTATATCTAACCAATAAGCCATTCATGATTAAATACTTAGACGCTATAACCGCAACATTTCCAATAGAAGCTGACATATCTGCCGATTCACAAAGTTTAACACCTTAACCTACAACTACGAGCATAGCTCGTAGTACGATGATCGGTCCAAACGTAAATATTATGGGCATAGCTCGTAGTACGATGATGGGATCAAACATAATATATAATATAATATATAATAACTTGTTTTCGTTTTCGGCGCAAAATTCTCGAACATAAATCGTAGATTAAGGGGTTAACAGAGATAACCATAGCGATATTTTCTAATGCTAATACAGCTTTACTAGCATCCTACTCAGACCCGATAATTGCCTCCTCTCCTCTCCAGCGAGGTCTCGACTCTATGGAAAAGTGGTACCAGAGATGGTGCTTCAAAAGAAATGAAAATAAATCCAGTCATATAACCTTCACGCTGCGAAAACCAACCTGTTCACAGGTGATCATAAGTAATTTAATTTCAATATTTTAATTTCGAACAAAGATTCCGTCAGATATCTGGACATGATTCTGAACAGAAGAACGACATGGAAACGACACATCGTTAATAAACCAAAACAACCTAAATCAAAATGTAAAAAATTCTAGTGGCTCATTGGCAAACGTTCCAACTTAAACGTGTAGAATAAATTAATGCTTTATAAGATCGTATTAAAACCTGTTTGGACCAAATTCCTACATAAAAATTCTTCAATGATTCCAATCGAAATCTCTGAGATCCTTAATAGATGCACCTTTGTATGATGCACAGTTAAAGAAGAAATATCCAAATGTAATAATAGATATAACATGAGAGTTAACAACCACCAAAACCTACTAGTTACTCAATTATTTGACACAACGGATCAGATTCGCAGGCTAACAGGACATTACCCTTTAGATTTAAGCATTAGAGTCAACTAGAATCAAACATACGATAAACACTTATTAAACACGACATAGTACCACGCCAGAATAGTTTACTTCTAATTCACAATGAGAATTGATTGTAGTTAACTTCCAAACAAAAGAAAAACAAAAGAAAAACAAAAATATTTTGATCATTCAACATCTTTTAACCGGTTTTTCGTGCGTTGACCAGTCAATATTTTGAATGGTTTATCGGGTATCAGTCATCTGTTTATCTTGTATCTAAGCACACCGAATGTAAATATTTATGCCTACGAAGTTTTTAGAATAAAGTGTATATTGTAACCTGTCACATCAATGTTATGATCAGTTCAACCACCTCTACTATCTTAAACAAAATAGAGATTCGATCATTTTATAATATCGATGAACTAATCCTAACGGGAATTTATTGGCACCCCATTAGCACGCTTTCTCGTGATCGCGTCTCCCCACGAACAGTCGAAAAGTATTATTTTATTGAGCTTTGATCTTTAAAAAATCATTAATGTGTGTTCTCCTAAAGTATTTCGTTCTTTTATTTAGGAACTTTAAGAAATTGTTGAACCACGACAAAATTTATTATTAGCAATTATTCATGCAATACACGTAGAACACATCATTTCTGATGTTTCATTAAAGAAGAGGAAATTGCTTGAATCTTCATTACAGAATTCAATTGTATATCATTTAATCGATTAATGGATTACTGGTGCAAAATGTTGAATATTGTAGCGTCTCACGTGCAATGGTTCGAGATTAGAGTTTTAATCAAGGAATGGAGATCATTAGGAAAGGATGACCATTCAAGAAAACTATATTCTATGAGATGGACATAGTTTGTTCAAATGGAAGAATAGCTAAAACGTAATTGTAAATTATTTTCTCAAAAAGCATTTTAGTGAAAGTACAATGATTGTATCCGTGACTGATCTGTATAATGGTTCGGATTTGATGGAATCTGCTTCCTTTTCCACGTGCATGCCCATTAATTAAAGACAAACAGTAAACTTTGGGGGTAATTAGGAAAATACTGTTCGATTAAAACTGAGTACATGATTCAGAAAAGGAAGAAATGGTACATAAGTTCGTGAAACAGAGTAGGAACACATTTGAATCTAATAATAGAGGAAAATTATAATTATAATAATAGAGCAAAATAAAAGAGGAAAATTATCAGAAAATGATAGAAAAATAGAACAGATAATCTAATTCCGCGGTGTTTGTTGCAGTGAAAAATACCGTACGTACCGCTATGAAACGATTCCTTCACTAGTCACAGATGCCAAATAAAATAAGAAAATATTTCCGAAGCTTGTAATGTACATTACGGGAGTGAGCTTTGCATTGTCGGCTGTGATAGTATATACGTCTCATTTGTAGTCTCCCCTCTCTTGTGAAATTTACCGCTGAATCATTACTTGCTGATAAAGTGTCATTTGCGAAAAATTCTCGTAGCAGATTTTAGCATCGAGAAAATGGTAAGAATTGGCATTTTACCTAGTAAGATAGATTTTTCGAAGTAATCAGTTGTTTCTAATGTATAATAATCATCTCGGCGGTAATCTACTGCTTAATTTTCACACATTAAGAAACGTGTTATAAAATTTCTATATACAGCACCAATATTTTGAATATTACACAATTATCGTAAAGACATATTTCGATCAACCGCTTCCATAAAATGATATAATTAAAAAATTGCATTGGAAGCTCAATTTTCTCAATCGAATTGTATTTTCACATGTAAGGAGGTATAGATATTGGAAAGTTGCTTTCAATCACTTTCCTCTTTCCAGACCCGGAAAAATAAGCGGTACAAATTATACGGAATTGGGTCATATAAATGATATATTCTCTAATTTCGCACAAAGGTATTTTTTACCATTTTTCCAACATGACCTAGAGTATATTTGCTTAAAGTACATATTCTAGAACATACATCATATCATCTATTATAACGAATAATCTTTCGCATAATTGAAAAAGTGTTATCAATGAAGTTGGAGGTTACAATGTATCAGCGTTATTTACCTGCTTAATAGCAAAAAGTGCAGTAATGTAGGCAGTAATATTTTAGAAGTAACATACGTGATAATTTCATATTCAACCGTCATTCTTGTTGTGAAGTGTCAAGTGAAATTATTGAAATTAATAGAAATGTACAAATTATTGACAAATGAATAATCTCAACTGGTAGCAAACATTATGGAGGTTTTCAATTACAAAGTTATCCAAGAGATTTAGAGTCGGATTTCACAGAAAAATTTCTGCGACTTATTGCCCCGTTCATCGTGCAATAAATATTTGTAGAATGTATTGATAAATAATAACGTAATCTGCAATTTGTTAAATTTTTAACCCGTTTATGGAAAAATATCCTTGGTTCAAAGCCTGTTCCTTATCCATATGCTAGTATTGTTACATGCTAAATTATTATTGAGCAAGTGCGATACACGTATACATTGGAATATATGTATAATCTAAAGTTTAAGGAGTCCTTTTTTTATGGTGGAATGTGATTTTTCATTTAACAAGGAATAAACAGGAAAATCGTGTCAACATTCTGATATCCAGGACCATGTATAAATCATTTACAGGTGGAATGAATGTTATCATGACCATGTTTATATGATTGCCTTGTGACAAAAGTGATGTAACCATGTGACATATATCTTTGTATATGTTTATTAATCTGATTACAAATTGTTCTATATAAACCATATGTATAATATTGTAGTATCGTGGAATAATCATAAAAAGAACTCGCTAGGAGTGCGAACAACAATGTAAACAGAAAATGGAACAAACCAGATGGGATGGGAAATTCTAATGGGCTATGTAGCACATCGATATAACTGTCACCTTTCATAAAACTAGGTGCTTCGAAAAGGATTGCGTAAGCATATTGGGTCATGGGCGGCAGCGGAACACCTGCGAGTGTTGGGAGAAAGAAAACTGTAACGAAAAGATGTTTTGCTGGAGAAAGTTAGTGGATAGTTAGTTGAGCTAGCTGGAGTTAGTCACGAGTCATGAGTTGTGAGTTAGTTCTTGATTCGTTGCATTACATTACTCTATTAAGCTGTTAGTTAAATAAATCATGCTTTCCTGTATCAATCACAAACACCATCGAAGACCTTGGTCCATCGAGAATTAAAGACTGTGAAAATCTGCGATAGATATTAAACGTGTTGATTTATTTAATAATAAGACGAGTAAATAATTATGATAATTAGATATTAGGTTGTCCGAAAATTGTCTTTCTTTTACAGACCCGTCTTTTACAACGATGCATCTTTGTACAAACATGAAACCTAATCTGTCGAACATTGTAATCTTTAGTTTGATAGAACAAAATGGATCATACGTAATTCGATAAAATAATATAAAACGGAAAATGTTGTGCATCCATTTCCTTATAAAATGAAAGAATCTTTTCGGACTACCTAATATACAGGGTGGTTGGTAATTGATGGTACAAGCGGAAAGGGGGTAATTCTACGGGAAAAAAGAAGTCGAAAATATAGAATTTTTTCTTTAATTTTTTTCTTTTAATTTTTTTAAAAATCAAGAAAATTCAAGAACTACGGTTTGAGATACTTGACTAATCCAGGGAAAAAAATATAGCAAGGACTTCCATGCTACGATGGTAATCATAATCGAAGATCTTCCTGCCATATTCACGAAACGGTGCTTTTGGATTCTCTAACGAACCTACTTTTAAGCCAAACGAAGTGCTACCGATCATATCTGTCTTGTTTATTTTTAAATTTTAGACATATAAACGATGCTTATACTCCGAAGCAAAGCAACAACATGAGTCACTCTCGATTCGAGTTACCCTATGATTCATGTGCTGCTGCAAACCTTTCTACGTGATTTAGAAGATGGATGTAAATGAAGTGACAGCCAAATCGGTTCTGTTCCGATATTATTCAGATTTGTGGACGTAGAGTGCGCGGTGTGTCGATCGTCGAAGTTAGAAGCATGTTGAAATTATGTTTGGGAACCGTTGAATTTTAGGTAGCCAGGGAACCGACTTTCGCTTTCGATAAAGAGCTAGGTGACACGTTAGACGATATTCTTGTAATAAGAGAAAGATAGGAGGTAGTTTAATACAAAGCGTAAAAAGACGGTAGTATACAAGACGAGAGATTTGCTAGCGATTAAAAGGATGCAAGCCGGTACTGGATTAAAGTTCCACTCGAAGTACTTCGAACCGTATGGCGCGGTTTTACGCAATGATCGCTACATGGTGCAGCGAGAGGGTGAAAACGAAGGGTCGCAAGTGACTTCCACGAGGGCTAATCGTACGAATCGTACGGGTCATTGATGAAGACAGTGGTGCGAGTGAAATTAGTGACAGTGAGCATACATGGGGTCAGCCCTAACCTCGCTGAGTGCACTCGTCCCCGCCAGATCACGAAAGTTAAGCAGCGCCGGGCACGGATAGTACTTGAATGGGTGATCGCCTGGGAACTCCGTGTGACGTTGGCGAAGCGCGCTGGACTCGCCGTGCCCCTCAGTGGGGTTCGGGCTAGGGTGCTGCCGGCTCAGCGCCTCGGGGCCGCCAGGCATTCCGGTAAGGGAACATTAAGCTTTAATTAAATAATCATCGTTTTCTTAGTTCAATCACTGTAAATAAATTCATCAAATAAATAAGGTCATTATATAAGATTTCGTATTACTTAATATTATTTAACACTGAATAAGTTTAGTTATTTTCAGGTATTTGAAATCAAAATTTTCGGACATTTAGGATTACGATTCTAAGGTATATTTAACATCTAAATATTCATTTCTCCTGGGGAAGAAGTAGATATGACATTTGTTGAACTTCGCCGATAGTAAAATATATCTAAGTTATCACAAACAAAGTAGAAAATTAGTATGCATAACGCGATTCGTAAAACTTCTTAGCTTCGTTTAACCAGCAGCAGTGGTAGTCTTTCTAATGTTGAGATGTATTCCTCCTAAAGCTGTCGTGGTGAGCGCTTTGGGATCTAGAATTATTGGAGTTTTTGTTTTTTCACAAGGTGAAACTTCGTAGTCCTTCAATACCTGTACGACTCCAAGTTTGGATTGCATGAGTCCCAATCGCATACCTGAAACAAAGAGCGAAAGATTAAGATTGAAAGTGACAGCCAATAGAATGTTTAAAGATACAGGTTGCTACTTGCATCTTTCGTATAATGCTAATGACAACAATAGAAACTTAATCAATTGTCTAATCGGGAATGTGTTATGGCAGAAATTTATTTGTTTAATAATCATAAACTGTATCAATATGTCTGATCGCAGAATATAGTAAACTGTACCAAATTGATATGTTTAATAAATAATGCCGTGCAACGCGTTATTAAATATTTATTCACATTCTGGCAGTTTCTTCTCAACAAGTGATGCAAAAAGGAGATAAACTTCTGTTAGATTGTATTCCGTTTTCAGATGTTTCTCTTCATTCTTTATGATTGTAACTAACGTTAACGAGACACCGGTAATGTTTAATTTTACCGTATGCATATTCCCGAGGCAAAAGAGATTTCAAAACAAAAAGATGTCGATCCCTTAATAAAAAAATTCGTATATAATACTAATATAAGAAGGTATGATCTAAAGGTCCAATCCATGGTGTTTTGTAACTGCTAGTATAACTAGAAGTATAAATGTCAGCACATATATGTATTTCATTTAGATTCTTTTAACAGTAATTTCATAATTTTCCCATCGATAGCTCTCAGGTTAGAGATGTTGGAAAATATTTCGGAACATTTTACTAACCAATGCAGACGCGGGGACCCTCACCAAAGGGCAAGTAGGCGAAACTTGGCCTGGCACGTTTGGCTTCCTCGGTAAATCGGAGTGGATCGTATTTTTCCGGATTTGGAAAGTACCGCGGATCGTAGTGCGAACCCATCGTCGAAATGAATATCGGGGTATCTTTCTCTAGCACCAAATCGTAATTAGGTACTTTGTAATCGGCAAGGGTAACTCGATCCAAGTATGCTATAGATGGATATTTACGAAGGGTTTCTGAAATTACCATATCGAGGTATGGTAACGTCGTAATCTGTGAAACATTATATTTCTTAGTATGTTTACAATTATATTACAACCTTTTTCACATACTATTCATATGCCTATCCCGTGTTTCTAATTTAACATTTTTGTAGTTGCCGTACCATATCATATGTGATTTTGCCACCAGTTTTCTCTAGAGCATCCTGAATCTCTGTCCTAAGCGTCTTCTGTACATCTGGGTTCAATGCGAGTTCGTGCAGCGTGAAAGACATGGTGCTAGCAGATGTTTCAGAACCACCGATATAAAATATGGCAGCTTGTGATACTAAATCGTCACCATCGAATTCTGAAACACTCAAATTAAACAATATCGCAAAAGTTCAAATCGATCTAGTATATCTAGTACAATTGGAAAATAACTTGAAAGCAAATGAGCTAATATAGACATTTGTGCAGTATTTTCAATTTCTAAAATGAATATAATTATATTGGAAGAAGTTAGTCGCGTTATTTTTCCTCTGTTTCACTGAGAGTTGACGGAATAAGGATATGGATAAAATTGTAATTCGCAGAGCATGTTATTCATAATTTCTGATTTTTCAACGATTCATAAATAACTTCGTTAAGAGAAATTAGTAAAATATTGCAGCCAATGCATACTGTAATCCTTCAGACTCTCGTCGTTCTTGTATGTCTCCCTCATTTCGATCAGCATATCGATGAGATCATTCCTCTTTTGACCCGAACCGACTCGTTGTTCAATCACATCCCAGAAAATAGATCGGAAGAATTTAGTCGCTTCTTTCCCAAAGAACTTCGGTTTCAGATACTTGACTAATCCAGGGAAGAAGAATATAGCAAGGAATTCCATGCTACGATGGAAATCATAATCGAAGATCTTCCTGCCACATTCACGGAACGGTGCTTTTGGATTTTCCAACGAACTTACTTTTAAGCCAAACGCAGTTCTACCAATGATATCGGTAGTGAAATTCGCGCAAATATCTTTGAACTCGATTACTTTTCCTTCGCCTGAAACAGATATTTGATTTCCTATGATGTGTCTAGCATTGTTGCATTTTTAATCAAGAAACAATAGTTGCAAAATTTAAAAAGTCTCTCTCATCAAGAGAATTGACTTTTAATTTTGTTAAACATTTCTATTAAATAAGAATTATTGTTTTAAAAATATATATTGAACTAACAACAGTTTCTCATGAAATGCGGCTTACCCTCCAAATGCAACGAATCGAGATGCTTTGCAAAGTCGTCAGCGACTGGCAGCATTATATCGAACATTTTCTTCAGCTTGCCCGGAGTAAAAAATGGCGTCAATTTTGGTCTGAGAGATTTCCATCCTGGATTTTTCATCATGAATAAATTTGCGTATCCAAGACGATCATTTTTTTCATCTGCAGTCGAGTACCTATCAGCGAAATAGTCGAAGTCCTTCATTAGGACGTGCTTCGCGAGTTCTGGATCGCGAATTAACAGGTAAGGTTTATCAAAGACGTAGAAACCCAATAAAGGCAAATCTCTGCCATAATTATATAGGTCCTTGAGAAATTGCGGGGCCGATTTTTTTGACAGGAGACAGTCCATGAAGTTGCCTACGAAAGGCGTAGGTGCAAGCTCTTTCACGCCCCGTTTCGACCAGTAATTAAATTTCCGAGTCACAAACAGATAAGCGGCAACCATCAGGAACGAAAGGATGAGGATGCCATCCAGACTCCAGTGTAGCGTTAATAAGACCATTTTAAATGAGTCTGAAAAGGTAAAATGTTTTTGCTGATCTCAGGATATAATATTTATCAACACCACTTGGATTGCGAATTATCATGGATTTAGAGAAATGCAAAAGCTGGAAAATATTTCGCGGAATGCTTCATTGTAATACAATCGTCCCCGAGACTCGTTACGCTTGCTTCTTATGTTAAGGGAAATGTAGGCGTTTACGCTCCCTTTGGTCGGATATTCTTTTCCCCAAAGTCGACGACACTCTGATACTGCGGTACGTGCGTGGGCGAGTAGGATGCACATAATACATGTAAAACAGTCGTTATGATGTTCTATTTAATGAGAGTGAAATAAATCATTATTTGTGTTTAATTTCATTCATAAAAATACAAAATTGCACAAATATCTGGAGGTCTGTTCATGTATGATAAATGAAATAAGTTATCAGTCTCTGGTTAAAAAAAAATCACTAATATCAGTTGCCCATTAATTAAAGACAAACAGTAAACTTTAGGGGTAATTAGGAAAATACTGTTCGATTAAAACTGAGTAAATGATTCAGAAAAGGAAGAAATGGTACATAAGTTCGTGAAACAGAGTAGGAACACATTTGAATCTAGTTTGCAAAATAAAAGAGGAGAATTATCAGAAAATGATAGAAAAATAGAACAGATAATCTAATTCCACGGTGTTTGTTGCAGTGAAAAATACCGTACGTACCGCTATGAAACGATTTCTTCACTAGTCACAGATGCCAAATAAAATAAGAAAATATTTCCGAAGCTTGTAATGTACATTGCAAGAGTGAGCTTTGCATTGTCGGCTGTGATAGTATATACGTCTCATCCCATAATCTCCCCTCTCTTGTGAAATTTACCGCTGAATCATTACTTGCTGACAAAGTGCCATTTGCGAAAAATTCTCGTAGCAGATTTTAGCATCGAGAAAATGGTAAGAATTGGCATTTTACCTGGTAAGATATTTTTTTCGAAGTTATCAGTTGTTTTTAATGTATAATAATCATCTCGGCGGTAATCTACTGCTTAATTTTCACACATTAAGAGACGTGTTATAAAATTTCTATATACAGCATCAATATTTTGAATATTACACAATTATCGTAAAGACATATTTCGATCAACCGCTTCCATAAAATGATATAATTCAAAAATTGCATTGGAAGCTCAATTTTCTCAATCGAATTGTATTTTCACACGTAAGGAGGTATAGATATTGGAAAGTTGCTTTCAATCACTTTCCTCTTTCCAGACCCGGACAAATAAGCGGTACAAATTATACGGAATTGGGTCATATAAATGACGATATTCTCTAATTTCTCACAAAGGTATTTTTTACCATTTTTCCAACATGACCTAGAGTATATTTGCTTAAAGTACATATTCTAGAACATACATCATATCATCTATTATAACGAATAATCTTTCGCATAATTGAAAAAGTGTTATCAATGAAGTTGGAGGTTACAATGTATCAGCGTTATTTACCTGCTTAATAGCAAAAAGTGCAGTAATGTAGGCAGTAATATTTTAGAAGTAACATACGTGATAATTTCATATTCAACCGTCATTCTTGTTGTGAAGTGTCAAGTGAAATTACTAAAATTAATAAAAATGTACAAATTATTGACAAGTGAATAATCTCAACTGGTAAAAAATATTATGGAGGTTTTCAATTACAAAGTTATCCAAGAGATTTAGAGTCGGATTTCACAGAAAAATTTCTGCGACTTATTGCCCCGTTCATCGTGCAATAAATATTTGTAGAATGTATTGATAAATAATAACGTAATCTGCAATTTGTTAAATTTTTAACCCGTTTATGGAAAAATATCCTTGGTTCAAAGCCTGTTCCTTATCCATATGCTAGTATTGTTACATGCTAAATTATTATTGAGCAAGTGCGATACACGTATACATTGGAATATATGTATAATCTAAAGTTTAAGGAATCCTTTTTTTATGGTGGAATGTGATTTTTCATTTAACAAGGAATAAACAGGAAAATCACGTCAACATTCTGATATCCAGGACCATGTATAAATCATTTACAGGTGGAATGAATGTTACCCATGTCTATATGATTGCCTTCTGTCAAAGTGATGTACCCATGTGATATTTGTATATGTTTATTAATCTGATTACAATTTGATCCATGTAAAACATATGTACCGTATGGTTAAAAAACAGATACTTTTTAAAGAAAGCATAATATTGACTAGTTTACACTTGTAGTACATATTTTTTGTATTGTAGTATTGTATTGTAGTATTGTAGTATTGTATTGTAGTATTGTAGTATTGTAGTACGTATTGTATTTTAGTACGTATTGTAGTACGTAAGTGTGAATGACTCCATTAAATAAATATCTGAACATGACAATGTAAGTGAAAGAGAACTCTATTTCCTCTGCACGCAATATATTTCCTTCCCATTACGATACAGAAAATCTACAGAAACAAGATTTCGTATTATTTAATATTATTTAAGATTCATAAGTTTCGTTAGTTTCAGATATTTGTATTTACAAGTTTCAAGCATTTAGAATTACGATTCTAAAATATATTTAACACCTAAGGATTCATTTCTGCCAAGAAAGAAATAGATGTCCTTTGTTGCATTTCGCCGAATCAGTAGTAAATTATATCAAAATTATCACACGCAAAGCAGAAAATTGAAATGCACAACGCGATTCATAAAACTTTAGCATCGTTTAACCAGCAGCAGTAGTAATCTTTCGAATGTTGAGATATAATCCTCCTAACGATGTCGTGGTGAGTGCTTTAGGATCTAGAACCACCGGAGTTTTGGTTTTTTCACAAGGCGAAACTTCGTAGTCCTTCAATACTTGTACGACTCCAAGTTTGGATTGCAAGAGTCCCAACCGCAGACCTGAATCGAAGAGTGACAGAGAGAAATTATCGTGAGTAAAATTAAAAGTGACGGTCAACAGAAAGTTGAAAGACACGAATTGGTACTGGAACGCGTAAATTACCCACCACATTCATGAGTGGAAGAATTTTTAATTACGTATAATACGAACGAGTTTTTCGAGTATTTTCTAACTGCTATTGTAATTTTTAATTTTTTAAATTATATTAGTTATAATTTTATATTTATTAGATTATAGACAAGTAAGTCTTGAACACAATGAGATTTAGATCCGCGTAAAGATAGTTGACAAGTGGAATGAACGATATCTATGACGATATGATTATCTCTTGATAAAAGTAAATGTTGTCGCCAAGTGACAACCTCGAGATTGGTGAAGGTTGAGATTAAAATTTCTACTTATAACATTTTATACAGGGTGGTTGGTAACTGGTGGTACAAGCGGAAAGGAGGTGACTCTGCGCGAAAAAAGAAGTCGGAAATATAGAATAAAAATTTTTTTTTATTTTTTTTTTTAATTTTTCCATCGGGACAACGATCTGCAATGAGATCCGTTATAACAAGACGTGATAAAGTGCACGCATACCGAGCGAAAATTCGAAATCGATTTTCTCGAAAACAAAGCCTCGAACGAAAAATCTTTATTCTATATTTTTGACTTCTTTTTTCGCGTAAAATCACCCCCTTTCCCCTTGTACCACCAGTTACCAATCACCACCAGTTACCAATCACCCTGCATATCTTAATGAAACTAATTGCAAATTGTTCTGGGACAAAAGTACATACGTCATCCTTAGAAAAATAGATATCTTTTAAAGAAAGGATAATCTATATGTGTCCTTGTAGTACGTATGTTTGCTTATATATGTATTTCACTTTGACTCTTTTAACACCGCTTTCGTATTTTTGCCATTGATAGTTCTAACGTTAAAGATGTTGCAAAATATTTTGAAAAATTTTACTAACCAATGCAGATGTGGGGTCCCTCACCAAAAGGAAAGTATACACAATTTGGTCTGGAATGTTTGGCTTCCTCGGAGAATCTGAGTGGATCGTATTTTTCCGGATTTGGAAAATACTGCGGATCGTAGTGCGAACCCATCATCGAAAGGAATATTGGGGTACCTTTCTCTAGCACCAGATCGGAATTAGGCATTTTGTAATCGGCAAGAGTGATTCGATCCAAGAATGCTAAAGGTGGATATTTACGAAGAGTTTCCGAAATAACCATATCGAGATATGGTAACGTCATAATCTGCGAAAAAATATTTACCATTATGTTGACAATTACGTTATAACATTTCTCACATGCTATTCATTTTCTAAGTTAATATCTTTGTAGTTACCGTACCATATCGTATGTGATTTTGCCATCAGTTTTCGCCAGAGCATCGCGAATCTCTGCCCTAAGTGTCTTCTGTACATCTGGGTTCATTGCAAGTTCGTGCAGTGTGAAAGACATGGTACTAGAAGATGTTTCGAAACCACCAGTAAAAAATATGGCTGCTTGTGATACTAAATCGTCACCCTCGAATTCTGAAACATGCAAATTAATCATACGCAAAAATTCAGCAAAACGATCTAATATACTTAGTACAATTGGAAATTAACTTGAAAGCAAATTAGCAAATATAGATATCTGGGCATAATTTTCAATTTGTAACATGAATATAATTATATTGGAAGAAGTAGTCGCGTTATTTTTCCTCTGTTTCACTGAGATTTGACGGAATAAGGATATGAATGAAATCGTAATTCAAAGAGCATGTTGTTGTCGAAATTTCTGATTTTTGATGATAAATAAATAATTTCATTAATAAAAATTAGTAAAATGTTCCAGAAAATACATACTGTAATCCTTAAGACTTTCATCGTCCTTGTATTTCTCCCTCATCTCGATCAGCAAATCGATGAGATCATTCCTCTTTTGACCCGAACTGATTCGTTGTTCAATTACATCCCAGAAAACAGATCGGAAGAATTTAGTCGCTTTTTTTCCAAAGAACTTCGGTTTAAAGTACTTGACTATTCCAGGAAAAAAGAATATACTAAGGAATTCCATGCTACGATAGAAATCATAATCGAAGATCTTTCTGCCATATTCACGGAACGGTGCTTTTGGATTCTCCAACGAACCTACTCTTAAGCCAAACGCAGTGCTGCCGATCATATCGGTAGTGAAATTCGCGCAAATATTTTTGAACTCGACTACTTTTCCTTCGTCTGAAACAGATATTAGATTTCTTATCGTGTATCTGGCACTATTATATTTTTAATCAAGACACAATAATTGTAAAATTTGAAGTACAACGCACCACAGAGCATTGACTTTTAATTTTGTTAAACATTTCTATTAAATAAGAATTATTGTTTTGAAAATATATATTGAACTAACAACAGTTTCTCATGATCAATCTGTTATTATGTAAATGCACTAGAAATGCGACTTACCCTCCAAATGCAACGAATCGAGATGCTTTGCAAGATCGTCAGCTACTACCAACATTAACTCGAACATTTTCTTCAACTTGCCCGAGGTAAAAAACGGTGTTAATTTTGTTCTGAGAGATTTCCATCCTGGATTTTTCATCAAGAACACATTTGCATATCCAAGACGATCATTTTTCTCATCTGCAGTCGCGTTTCTATCAGCGAAATAGTTGAAGTCCTTCACTAGGACGTGCTTCACGAGTTCTGGATCGCGAACTAAGAGGTAAGGTTTGTCGAAGATGTAGAATCCCAAGAAAGGTAAACCTTCGCCGTAATTGTATAGGTCCCTGACAAATTCTGAGGCTGATTTTCTTAACAGAAGACAATCCATGAAGTTGCCTACGAAGGGCGTAGGTGGAAGCTCTTTCACGCCCCGTTTCGTCCAGTAGTTGAATTTCCGAGTCACGAGCAAATAAGCGGCAACCATTAGGGACGATAGGATGAGGATGCCATCCAGTCCCCAGTATGGCGTTAACAAGGCCATTTTGGATCAGTCTGATAAGGAAAAATGCTTTCGTTGTTCCTGAAAGACAATATTTATCAACAACTTTTAGTTTACCGATTTTTATGCATTTGAGGAAAATGTAAATGTATAGAAAGTGTAGTAGAAAGATGGTGTAGAATATGGAAAATGTGTGATGTTCGGTTTAATAGCGAAAATAATAATTTGGTAAAACGAGCAATGTATCGCGGAACAGGAAGGTTCATCGTTGTTTACAGAACGTCCAACTCTTCTCATATAAATGTTTTTCTGAATGAAACATTTGCAATAACACAATACTTCGCAGTACGGTAAGTGGAAATACAATCTCTCTCGGGGCTCAGCATTCCTATTAAATTGTGTGGAAAGTAGATATCCCTCTTACTCAACTCGAATGTCCTCTTTTCTAACAACCGATATCACCCGGAGTTCGCAAAGTGAAAACAGGTGAATGCTTAGGGGGCGTACGCATCACGATCACTCAGCGACTACTTGGAGGCTTAGACCTCGGTGGCAAGGTTTACGATACGTCGATTGGGGTATTCATTTCGGCAACTAATTAATTTTGTAAATAATTTCCCTCTGTACGTCTCAAAATTCGACGTCACGTTTTCATCGCAAGCCTTGTACCTCGGACAAGCCCTTGTTCGTATCTTGGGGATCGCGACCGCTATATATAATTAAAAATGCCTAGAGTCGAATGCACATAATACATAAATGTCTCAAGTATAACAGTGGTTACGATATTTAAGTTACAAAATGAGGGATGAAAATTATTTGTAAATAATGCAGAATTAGAACAAATAACTTAATTCTGCCGTATGTTTTACAGTGAAATATGCGGTATGTACCACTATGAAACGAATACTTCAGTCGTCACAAGCACTATAATGCTCACTTTCTCTCTTCTGTCATTGTGTTTAAGGTATAGGTCTGTTAGGTGAGAGCCTTACTGAAGAGTCCACACTAGCAGATCTTGGACGAAACACTCACAGGCACTATAATGTAACAGATGCCAAATTCAGAATTGCGCTAAATGAGAGAACATTTCTGAATCTCTCAACGCACATTATTCGAATGAGCTCTGTATCGTCGGCAGTGATTGTATATATGTCTCATTTGTAATTTTCCCTCTCTTGAGAATTTTACCACCGTATTATCGCTGATGGACAAAGTACAAATAGAGCTCGATTGAATTTCATACCAGACTTGAGCATCGAGAAGATAAAAATTGCCACCTTATCAGCTAAGATATTTTTTTCAAAATTATCGCTTTGTTTTACGTATAGTTAACAACAACAACTCGGCTACAACCAATTCACTGCTAAACAAAAAAATTTTATTTACCGTAACAACGTTTTGAATATTACACAATTATTGTAAAGGAATATTTCGATGCGTCGCTTCTATAAAATAATACAATGAAAAAATAACATAGAAAGCTCAATTTTCTCAGTCGAAACGAATTTTCACAAGGAAAATAGTATAGATATTAGGAAGTTTCCATCCATCGCTCTCCTATTTCCAGAAGGTGTGGAACGAGTAAGCCCCGTATTAGACTTTCCTCCTTGGCGGTACAGAAAATAATGACTTGTATGATATCTGACTCAAATTGCCTTCATTTCAATTCAGTTATTAATATAGTATATAGTGGTCGTCTATGGATCACGAGGGGCATTGTTTCATCTCTTTGCGATACGGGACGTATAGGCACTGTACATTAAAATCTTTACATTTCTGCAAATGGATTCTGTAGGATATTTTACTGCATTATATTGGTTTACCCTGCAAACACTCAATTACTGTTTATTTTTTTGGATATATGCATTTCTTATAATGTGAGTAAGGTATGCCACAAACGAATTCCATTTGTTTAGTAATCATAAACTGTATCAATATGTCTGCTAGCAGAATGTAATAAACAGTACCCGGTTATTTTGTCTAGAAGTTAATGCAATGCAATGCGTTATTGAATACGTATTCACATTCAATCTGTTTCTTCTTAACCTGCGGTGAACAGAAAGTATAAAATTCTGCTAATTCCGTTTTCAAATTGTCTAAACATCCGTGATAATTGTAGCATATCTCAGCACATAACCGGGTATGTCTAATTTTGCTTTATCTATTTAATTACGGATGATACGTACAAATCTTTTCACAGTATACGAAACTATCTTTTACGATAAGAATTCAGTTATGACAATGTCATGGGTTATAACAAATGGGTCAATAATGTATGAAGTTGCGTATAAAGATAGTGTTTGCCATTCACCAACATAACGTAGAATATATCTAACGTTTGACGTGGATATCCTAATAGATATATACTATATCGTCTATTATACCCAATGATATTTTGGATGATTGAAAAAGTGTTGTTAGTGAATTTTGAAAATTACTAGTTGCAACGATACAGAATTATTCTCCTGCATAATGGATAGGAAATGTAGTAATAAAGTTAGTCGTGTTTCTTGAACAAATTTTACAAGTTGCAAGTCAACTTATACTTCTGGAATCACCAATAATCATTAATTTTGTGGTGTAACAAGAATTACGGAAATTTTCAATTGCAAAGTTCTCTAAGATATATAAAATTTCACAAATAAACATTCGTAAAATATATTAACACATAAAATAAAAAATTTAACACATAAATTATAAAATTGCAAAATTCATATATATGCTAAAATATCTTTATCCTACAACTCGTAAGTTATCAGTGAAATGGCATTATCACGTGATAAATTATTGAGAAGATAAGAGATACATACGTAAGGATATATAAATATCAAACCCATTCATATTAAGTAACTGTTAATGTTGACAATATTCTCAATTACATTAGGTATAATTTTACATTTATTAGAGTATGAATAAACAGGTTACGCAAACATTGTGATATTTAGAACTGTGTGAAGATTGGTTATAAGCAGAATCAACGATATCTATGACGCCTAGGATTATTTTGTCATAAAAGTGATGTCGCCACATGACTTTTATATGATGTTGCAAATTGAGATTAAACTTTCCACGTATACATCTTTCATATATTTTCAATGATATCAGTCGTGTTTAATGTGTTCCATTAATAACTCAGTTATAACCAATTCACTGATTAGTTTTCACACATTACAAGACACGTTACACAATTCCCTTCCACGGCGCCAAAATTCTGAATATTATACAATTTTTGTAAAGTCCTACATAAAATGGTACGATGTAAAAATTGCATAGGAAACTAAAGTTTTGTAATAGGCTAGAAAATATATACGTACTATTAAGTTTCTTTCTAACGTATGAATATTTTGAACGTAACTGTTAATAATCTACATAAAATTGTATACTACAAAAGTCACATGGGCGAAACTTGTTTCTCTCCTTAGTCAATCAGGTCTTTCATCCTGAAGGAATCGTTACAAAATTATTTTTTATTACATAAAAATTTCTAATAGAACAGCCAGAGCAAAAAAAGTGCCTAATCTCCGCCTTCGGCGATTTTTAAATATGTTATTGATATCAACATTTCGAACAACTTTTTTCTGTATATATAATTGGCGGTCTCGGTTAGTTATCAGGACGTTTACAATAAAATGTCATCACTTAGGTGAAATCTACTTATAGTTGTACGTATGCGCCGAAATTACTTGCTAATTCTTTTATTTTTTGCTTAAAACAAGAGTCGGATAAACTTAAAGCACCGTTGCACAATTGCATATACGAGGCTGCAAGAAAATTCTGATACAATTGAATCTAAAATGAATAGCATTGATATATTGGGTTTGGGTTTGGCAGATCTTATTGTAAATTAATTAGCCGTGATGCACTGGACACGTGGCAGCCTACGGGCCGATTATTTTGGTTTGTACGTGAAAATAATTGAATTAATCAAATACGTATACGTGACAACGTAAGTGATAGAGAACTCTATTTCCTCTGCATGCAATATGCTTCCTTCCCATCACAATACAAAAAATCTACAGAAACAGGATTTCGGATTATTTAATATTATTTAATACTAAATCAGTTTCGTTATTTTCACATATTTGAAATCACAATTTTCAAGTATTTAAGATTACGATTTTAAATTATGTTTGACATCTAAATATTCATTTCTCCCGAGAATGAAATCGCTATGACATTCGTTGAGCTTCGCCAATAGTAAAATATATATAAATTATCACAAGCAAAGCAGAAGATTGGAATGCACAATGCGATTCATAAAGCTTTAACTTCGTTTAACCAGCAGCAGTGGTACTCTTTGTAATGTTGAGATATAATCCTCCTAAAGCTGTCGTGGTGAGTGCTTTAGGATCTAGAACCACCGGAGTTTTGGTTTTTTCACAAGGCGAAACTTCGTAGTCCTTCAATACTTGTATGACTCCAAGTTTGGATTGCATGAGTCCCAATCGCATACCTGAAACGAGGAGTGAAAGAGAGAAATTATTAAGAGTAAGATTAAAAGTGACAGCCAGCAGAATGTTCAAAGATGCAAGTTGGTACTCGTATCTTTCTTATAATGCCTGTAACACGAGTAGAAACATAGTAACAGTCATCTATTTGGGAGTGTGTGCCACAGTAGAATTCCATTTGTCTAATAATCATAAACTGTATCAATTTATCTGATCGCAGAATGTGGTAAACTGTATCCAATTATTATGTCTAGTGGATAATGCAGTATAATGTGTTATTAAATATTTATTCACGTTCAGTCAGTTCCTTCTCAAGTAGTCGTAAGCAAAGGAGATAAACTTCTCTTACATTGTATTCTCCCGTTTTCAAATTTTCTAGTCATCCTCTATAATTGCAACTCACCTCAGCATATAACCGGTGATGTTTAATTTTACCGTATGCACGTTCTCGAGTCAAAAGAGATTTGAAAGCAAAGAGGTGCAGATTCCTTAATAGATAGGTTCGTATATAATAATGCACCTTTTATAATTGTTTAATACATGTTTTCTATATGTACGTGCAAATTTTCTACATTATTTGTAAGAGAATGAATTTTTAATTAAGTATTAAGTATTTTTAATTAAGAACGAGTCTTTTTATATCGTGGTATCAAAACAGAAAGTTTTTTCTTTATTATCCCGAATTACGCACAAAAAAATTATCTAGTATATTCTCGCATGTCATCGAGTATACGTGTCTAAAGTAATTTCATCATCCATCTACTATCAAATATTACAAACCACGACCTTTCGCATAACTGAATAATTACAGACTGCAATATATCGGTATTATTCCCTTGCATAATGATAAAAAGTGTAGTAATAAAAGCAGTCATATTTTACGAATAAATTTTACAAGTCAACAGATAATTTTGTAATCAATTATAATTAAAGTACCTGACATTAGTAAGATTAAATCATTAAAATCATTAAAAAGTCAGGAATCTTAATTTGTATCAAAAATTATGGAAATATCCAATTACAAAGTTTTCCAACATATATGAATATATAACAAATAGATATTCACAAATTGCATTCATAGATATGATATTCGAAATTTAACATTCAATATGCTAATTTCCAACAAATGCATATGCAAAAATGTCTTCGGCGCAAAAACTTCTATCTTATCTGTGCAAAAATATCATATGCCAATAAGTATATTCTACATGATAAACAACTATTACACAAAAGAGATACATATGTGTACTAAAAAATATGCATAATTTAGATGTCAAATCCAGCCTTGTTTCCTAGAATATCATCTTTCATTCAATAGGCAATGAACCAACAAGTCATTCAAACATTCTAATGTTTGAAAGTGTAAAGATTGCACGTGCAAAGTGTACGTGTAAAGATCGTTCACAAGTGGAATGAAAGATATTTGTAACTATATAATTATCTACTGATAAAAGTCATAAAGTCACGTGACTACCGTAAAATGTGTAAATAATGTGTAAATAAGATCTCCACACATTGCGTTTACGTTTTTACGTATTACGCAAAAGAATAAATACCTTATCATTAATAATATGGGAACTGTTCAAAAAAACGAATGCTGATCACGACATTTATGTACCTATGTCCTAAATGTATAAGTTTCTACATATATATGTATTTCATTTCGATTCATTTAACACTATTTTCATACTTATGCCATCGATAGTTCTAACGTTAATGATATTGGAACATATTTTGAAAAATTTTACTAACCAATGCAGACGTGGGGCCCCTCACCAAAGGGAAAGTAGACGAAATTTGGCCTGGCATTTTTGGCTTCCTCGGTAAATCGGAGTGGATCGTATTTCTCCGGATTTGGAAAATACCGCGGATCGTAGTGCGAACCCATCATCGAAATGAATATTGGGGTACCTTTCTCTAGCACCAGATCGGAATTAGGCATTTTGTAATCGGCAAGAGTGACTCGATCCAAGAATGCTAGAGGTGGATATTTACGAAGAGTTTCCGAAATAACCATATCGAGATATGGTAACGTCATAACCTGTGAAAAAATGATATTTACCATTATGATTACAATTACGTTATAACATTCCTCACATGCTATTCATTTTTCTCTCACGTGTTTCTAAGTTAATATCTTTGTAGTTACCGTACCATATCGTATGTGATTTTGCCATCAGTTTTCGCCAGAGCATCGCGAATCTCTGCCCTAAGTGTCTTCTGTACATCTGGGTTCATTGCAAGTTCGTGCAGTGTGAAAGACATGGTACTAGAAGATGTTTCGAAACCACCAGTAAAAAATATGGCTGCTTGTGATACTAAATCGTCACCCTCGAATTCTGAAACATGCAAATTAATCATACGCAAAAATTCAACAAAACGATCTAATATATTTAGTACAATTGGTAATTAACTTGAAAGGAAATTAGCAAATATAGATATCTGGGCGTAATTCTCAATTTGTAACATGAATATAATTATAATTGGAAGAAGTAGTCGCGTTATTTTGCGTCTGTTTCACTTGGGGGTTCACGAAATAAGGATATGAATGAAATCATAATTCATAGAGCATGTTGTTCGAAATTTCTGATTTTTGATGATAAATAAATAATTTCATTAATAGAAATTAGTAAAATATTGCAGCAAATACATACTGTAATCCTTCAGACTTTCGTCGTTCCTGTATTTCTCCCTCATCTCGATCAGCAAATCGATGAGATCATTCCTCTTTTGACCCGAACTGATTCGCTGTTCAATCACATCCCAGAAAAGAGATCGGAGGAAGTTAGTCGCTTTTTTTCCAAAGAACTTCGGTTTAAGGTACTTGACTAATCCAGGAAAAAAGAATATAGTAAGGAATTCCATGTTACGATAGAAATCATAATCGAAGATCTTCCTGCCATATTCACGAAACGGTGCTTTTGGATTCTCCAACGAATCTACTTTTAAGCCAAACGCAGTGCTACCGATCATATCGGTGGTAAAATTCGCGCAAATATCCTTGAACTCGATTACTTTTCCTTCGCCTGAAACAGATATCAGATTTCTTATCGTGTGTCTGGCGCTGTTGTGTTTTTAATCAAGACGCAATAATTGTAAAATTTGAAGTCCATCGCACCATAGAGCATTGACTTTTAATTTTGTTAAATATTTCTAATAAACAAGAATTATTGTTTTAAAAATATATATCGAACTAACAACAGTTTCTCATGAAATGCGGCTTACCCTCCAAATGCAACGAATCGAGATGCTTTCCAAGATCGTCAGCGACTACCGACATTAACTCGAACATTTTCTTCAACTTGCCCGAGGTAAAAATCGGTGTTAATTTTGTTCTGAGAGATTTCCATTCTGGATTTTTCATCATGAACACATTTGCATATCCAAGACGATCATTTTTCTCATCTGCAGTCGCGTATCTATCAGCGAAATAGTTGAAGTCCCTCACTAGGACGTGCTTCACGAGTTCTGGATCGCGAACTAAGAGGTAAGGTTTGTCGAAGATGTAGAATCCCAAGAAAGGTAAACCTTCGCCGTAATTGTATAGGTCCCTGACAAATTCTGAGGCTGATGTTCTTGACAGAATACAGTCCATGAAGTTGCCTACGAAGGGCGTGGGTGCAAGCTCTTTCACGCCTCGTTTCGACCAGTAGTTGAATTTCCGAGTCACGAACAGATAAGCGCAAACCATTAGGGACGATAGGATGAGGATGCCATCCAGTCCCCAGTATGGCGTTAACAAAGCCATTTTCTATGAATCTGACAGATAAAAGACATGTTGTTAGTGTCAAAAAATAATACTCATAAAAAAATAATACTCATAAAAAAAATACTAATAAGTATTTATTAATCGTTCATGAACTACAGATTTTCATGCATGCATTCATGGGAAGTTGAAAAGCATGAAAGTGTATAAAATGCACAGAGTATATAAATATCTCAAGTATAGCACTCGCTGTAATATTCTATTTAATATGTGCGAAAGAAATCTTTGTTTACGTTTAATTTCGTTCTTACAATTGTATAGTGTTATCTGCAGGTCTGTTAGTATATGATTAATCTAATATGTTGTTAGTCTCTGGTTTAATAAGATCATTGATGGAAATCCTTTTGAAATCTTCCGCTCTTTTATTTAGGAATTTTGAAAATTATTGGAGTTACGACAAAATTTATTTTATCAACTATTAATGTATTATGGTCACGTTTTTTCTGATGTTTTTATCAAAGAGACATAATACACTGGTATAATCCTGCTATTTCCCTGAACGCAATTATCTATTTATTCGATCAGTTAATAACTTCTTGGGATGTTGAATAAACGCAGCGTTAGAAAAGACATAATTTATTCAAATGGAGGCATATTTACAAGGTAAATGTAAATTATTTTTTCAAAAAGAATCATTTCAGTGTAAGTCTAATGATTGATCTCTATGATCGTTCGGATTTGATGCAATCTGCTTTCTTTTCCACGTATATGCCTATTACTAAATAATCAAATTTCAGTGTAATTAAGAAAATATTGTTCGATTAAACTGAGTAAATTATTCAGGAAAGAAAGGAAAAGGTAAGAAATTACAGTATACATAACATCATGAATCAGAGTTGCGTTACATTTGAATTTAATTTACAAAAAAAAAAAGAACGAAAATTGTCAGTAAATAATAGAAAATTAGAACAAATAGTTTAATTCTGCCGTATATTTTACAGTGAAGTATACAGTACGTACCACTCTCAAACGAATACTTCAATTATCACAAGCACTATAATGTAATAGTAGGTATCCAATTCACATTGCCGCGAAAGGAGAAAATCTGTCCGCAGTTTGCAATCTATGTTGATAAAATGATCTTTGTATAGTCGGCTGTCACAGTATATATGCAAAATCTGCATGCTCCCCTTCCTAAGAAATTTATTGTTGAATCATCTATTGCTGACATAATGCAATTAACAAACACTTTAGTTTCCGTAGTAAGATCTTTAGATAAAAGTAAGAACTTTAATAGCTGAGCGGAAAGGTCGAGCCGAGAGCTTGTAAACGGATTGAAATATTCTGCGTGATTGTAAATCTGTCAAAACACTACGAGACCCCACGACATTTTTCTTCGCGAATCTTCAAACAATGGCTGTTTGGCCTTATTATACTAGTACATATAAAGCTATATACACTGATGATGCACGTACATCGTGGTTGAGGATAATGCAAACAGTGTTTTAATAGTATCAGATCTTGGATATTCATTTTAAATGGATTAGAGTATATAATATATAATATGATATAATAATAATATACAAATAATAAAAATAATAATGATATAAAAATATATAATCAACTATAAAGTATAGTAAAATAACTAATATAAAACTTATGAAACATAGACGAAGCGATAATCTAGTAATGACCTGTTGTCTTATGACCTCTTATGTTATTTTATGTCATAACGTGTTTTAGAGCTTTGTGAAATAATCGAAGATTTATTGGATTTATGATGAACGAGTAGAAACTAAGTTGTATAGTGGGAAAAAGAAAATTAACTACTAGATCATACTGTCGCGGCATAATTCAAGGTTGAATTATTTTCCTTCCCTCGAATTAAGGAGTTTAATTAATTCTGTTTTTTTATTTGTTGATGGAATGAAGAACGGATGACAAATACCGATTAAAGAGATACATTAGCGATAGAGTTATTTTAAAAAAAATACATTGATAAATATCAGAGTCTCCTTTGTTCAATATTAAAGCTATATCTTCTTGCTTAACTTCTAATGTAAAATCTGTTTTTCTTAATATCATACAATGTCTTACGGAAGAAAAAATAGAAGCAAGTTTATATAATCACAACGTCTATTTACCACGTTATATAACAAATTAATGAATATATAAATGGAAAACTATGTTTAATTTCACACATATGCATAGAGCTTAATATTGTGACTTTTGCGACTGTTTTATTCATTAACGGATGTCGACGTTAGCAAAATTATTATGTACATGTCATGTTCATTTGAATAATGACTAGTTACGTTTTTTGTACTTGAAATTGTAAAAGTATAAATTAAGTTTTCGTGCGTAAATTCAGAAGTCACTTGGACGTACACGTGTTTATCGTAATATCATCCTAACATCGTAATTAGGATTGATATAATATATATATTAATAATAAAAGAAAATAATAGACAAAAACTATCATGAAGTTTCATTTACTTCATTCAATTCGTAGTTACGATTAAACTACAAACGTTTATGCAAAGTTATATTTTCAAAAGCTTTACTTATTAAAAGTTATGACGTCTACTTAATTTATATGTGTTATCAAGTAAATTTTGTAACCTTGTAATGTAAGATTATTATCAATCAAAACAAAATTTAATACAGTGGAAGCTCGATTGTCGGAACACCGATTGATAGATCGAACGATTACCAAAATATCGATTAATGGAAAATTTGGAGATCATTTTTAGAGAGTTATTTTCAAAAAATTTGGAAAGGAGAATGGAAACTGAAAGACATTTTAATAATTTTATTCGAAAGATCTGGCTCTTCAATGAAAATAAAGTCAGCCAATTATCTGAGAAGATGGATCCAAACAATATGCATCATAATAATTAGACAAACGTGATCAAGAGCCATCTCTGATTAATTAGCAGAGTAAAATAACAATCAGGATCATAATTTTTAAAGAATTTTTAATAAATAAAATCCGTATTACCAATCTCGAATAATACATACTGCATGTCTGTCGTACAATAGTTAAAAGTATTCGTAAAATCTGCAATGACAATTTTCTGACTAAATATACAAACATACGTAAAACTTAACTAAAAACCTAACTTAGGAGTTACCGGAAATTTCAGACGTTTCTACGATCGGCTGTTCATCCAACAGAAAATTACACAGCACGCTAAGAACATAAATACCAACTTGTTAATTAACTCGTCTTTGACTAGCAAGTTTCATTACCTGTTAAAACCCAGAACGTTTCCACGATCAAATGCTTGTTCGACAGAAAACTGTAGTTCAGTGCGAAGAATAGGGGCATAGCCTGTAGTACGATGATCGGGTCAAACGGAAATATTACGGGCATAGCCCGTAGTACGATGATTAGGCTAAACGTAAATATTACGGACATAGCCGGTAGTAGATGATCCGACCGAACGTAAATAGTAGGTTAAGAGGTTAATAGATCTGTTAATTGCTTATCTTAGAATGGTCTTTAAAGCTAATTTCATATGATACGAAAGATTTCGACGAAATATTACCAAATGTCTTTGATAACATATGTAAAAAGAAAAGAAGATTCATGTTTTATTTCATTTGAAGTCAGACTCTATCTTTAATATCTTCGTTAGAAAATTATTTTAAGTCTAAAAATTGAACGTTCGTCGAGATCTTAATGTTGATTTCGTCGATTTATCGTCGATACCTCAATTACGAAATTATTCTAAACGTAAGATCGCAAATTAGCCAAAATCTTAACAATTACTTTGTTTCGTTTGAAGTTTTGCAACGTAGTTACTACGGTACGTGATCGTTTTAATCAACGATAAAAGAGTCTCGAGCCAGAAATTATACAAGATTTTCTCAACTCGCTAAGAACCTCGATCGTTTCCACGATCGACTGTTCGACTCGAGGGAGAAATTGGTGCAAAACGCCTGAAACCACGGCAAGTTGACAAGCGCATGGTAGAAAATAATTACGGCGTTCTTCGATGGCGACTTCGTTCCTCGAACGAAGTTTCCATCCTCTACCATCGTCTTACAATTTCTCGACAAACTGCGTATATCGTTTGCCAGCCGTGACTCGTCGTGACTCGGAAATTACTGTTCGTGATACGTTTGAAAATCGGCATGTATATACACGCGTGCAACAATCTCTGTACGACACGCTCGCGATTTCTGTTCGACGGCCAAACCTCTCATTACGCTACCCCGTGTGTGGCGTGGCGTGCATCGTACAGGGAAAATCTTAGCACGCATATCTGCTTGGTCGTTGGAGTAAAAACGAGGGTATCGTACAGTTTCAGCCTTTGACGTGGGAAACGACCTCACTAGCAACATAGTAAACAATGTTCGCAAGGGCTACGTGCACGTTAACAGAGATGAAAAGCATGGGTTTGGAAAGTCGTGAGAGTAGACGATGACGATCAGATGACAGATAAAATTACTATGGATTAACGATGCGTGGAACCAAACGATCGCCGTGGACAATTTTCCTTCCGATTGATTTAAAATCGATCTGCTAAAGTTTTTAAGAGAAATTGCAAGGCGGGTTAACTCATTAAGTTGTGAAATAACAGTACAAGTTGCATAGACGTAACATCGCTGGAAGACGCAATTAAAGTAAGTTACGTACAAGGTTCTCGTAAATTGCGGATTTGTCGAGCAGCAATGCGATTCACTATAAAACGATGAATTAAAAATAAAGAAAGTATTTACACTTTTACACGTGTTCAGACTTTTTTGCACGTTGCATTTCGTTCGTCCATTTCCTTCCGCCAAGTGTGTTCACGCGACCTGTTCCGAGCAGAAATTGGCATACCTACACGCGAATCACCGGCGAACGCTCCAGGCTCTGCAACTCTTCGCTATAATAAGCTCCACAAGTGTATATACATTGTACGTGAATGTGCATGGTTACGTGTAAGCATTTTCTACAGTGAGAAAACGTCGTCCACGAGATTGTAGACGATCGTCCGGCCAATTTTCTAGACATTATTATCCAGCGACAATGATCCTTGTAATCGACGCTTGTTTTCCATCTTCGATTGGTCAATTGGACGAAAGTTTGTAAAGCGAAACGCTGACTGAATCGAACCATAGATTTCAAGCATGGATAGAAGAACGTTGAGATAAGGATACTTTATACTTAACTACTTTAACGACTAGGAAAATGTATTAGGGAATTTCTAAATTTTTTTCTACGATACCGATAGATAAAAATTGTTGTGCACCGGTATAGGAAAAGGAAGGGAACGACAGGTACGAAAATGGTGTCGGTAACGAGATATGTTTTCAGTAGGTAAGACTCTGCGGAATTCGTTTCCTGCTTCTCCAGGTTGAATGGTTCTTTTGACAACCCATAGGTGGCGGAAAAGAATAGTTCAAGAATTTTTCAAATCGCTATCGCGCAATACCTTTTCTTTTTAGATTTTTTATTATCGAGACGAATTAATTTAAATTTGTTATTAATTTGTTTCTATTATTAAAAAAATATCAAACAACTGCTAATTCGATACTAATGATTATTTATATGATATTTATTATGAACGAGGAAGAGGAAGAGAAGGAAGCGTTATTATCAAAAATTTGTTTAATTTTATGATACTTTTTATACTTATATCACCATTGCTATAAAAAATCGTGATTTCTGTCAATCGTGAACAATTGAAATGTAAGTAACAGTGCAGCGAAACGATTTTAAATTAAAAATACATTAGAACGTACTCTTATGTAAGTATCTATTTTACTTCGAAGTAAAATCGACAACACGATGCGACTTACTGTATAAATATACATGCGAAATATTATTCTCAGTTCTAACTATGACAATTATAATATTATTCTAATCTAATAGCTTCTATATTTGATATTCCCTGATAGCTTCAGCAAGGCACACTGTAATATCTTTATATCGTGTTATAAATGTACATTTTTTAAATACACGGAACTATATATAAATATATTATTAAGATAAAGATTTTAATATCAACTATCAGCATTACCTACTACGTCTTCTATTATCGTTAATATCAAACGTTTCAGTATTTTTAAATACTGTTAATCAACGTTAACAAAGTTTATCCTTTCATCAAAAGCTTCCCTAAATGAAAAATTCCCAAAACTTCCACAACTTTTCGT